ATCAAAATTCCGGACAACAGCATCAAACATGTCAAACTCGCTGTGCAAGTCATTCAACATCAAACACATCATTGGTAACAATGAAATGTAAAGCAACAAGGAGGAGAAGCACCAAGGAAGCATGTAATATATACATCTTTGCATACTGTATAGAGTAGCGCCTGCTTGGCATAGTGGTATTGCTTCCAAAACACTGTTTGTCGAGAATCGGTAAAAGACTGAATTTATAAAAGGCTTTCCAAGCACCAAACATGCAGCGCTTATGGACTTAAGAAGAGGCGCTGCTCCTGTCTCCAAAAAGATGAGTGTTTGCTGGTTGCAAGGTACATCTTTTGTGGGGGAGGGGTTCAGACAAATACGCTTCTTGCCTTGACGAATCTCTACAGTGTTTATGCCACGTGACCGTCACGAACCGGATGGCGTGCTTGTGACAATCTTTATCACGCATCTTTGCGCACGAGCACTGAGGAGCACGACCGAGTGTTTGCACTTGCAAAGTTCTACACTCAAACATGATGTGCGATCATCACTGTAGACTACGAGTTACCTTTAATTTGACTTGAATTGCCAGTTTTGCGGTCACTTGGCTGAGCAAGATTCCACAATCCTTTTACTTTAATAGACGTGATAAAAAAAAAGGAAGTACTGTATGGCGCACCCGTATCGCCATGATTTATCACCATCGACTGGAGTTGCTAGAATAAAAAACATATATCAGCAAATACAATGTTCTGATCCTGTTTCGTGCTTGTCCTAAAGCTGTTGTGAACGTCAGAGCTTATGGCAGATTCATGCACGCGTAGTTTACTTATCCTCTACCACCGCATAATAGAAAAAAACAAAACGGGACAACACACAACTTGCCGCCTGGACTCCAATAAGATCTTTCATCCAGCACTCTCCCAGCACCGCGGGTTTGTGTTCTCAGTTGCCTGGATAGAGTGACAAGAAACGAGTGTGCTGTTTAAGAACAAATCAAGTGTACTGTCAAGACGCTAGTCGCACCGTTCGATGAAAAAAAGATCTGTTTTGGTTAAACCCTTGCCCCCCCCCTAAACGTATAGGACCTTCATTGATTTTTACAGAAAAACATTCGTTTTCGTGCTAAATATATACGATACTCTCCGGGATACACTTTAACTCTTGCATGCGGGAAAATTTTTTTGGCCGTGGTCAGTTTCCGGTGATTAGGTGCGGATCTTTATAAAGAAATCGGGTATCTGCATTATAACAAAAATGTCTTTTCTGATCATACCGCACCGCTCTTCCCTGAGCAAAGCACTGATGTAGTGTTCTTTGATGGATGTCGATATGTGGGTTATTTATTTACAAAGGTTTTTTTTTTTGAAACGTGTACTTTTACGTACTGTTGTTTTTACTTCCACCTCTTTTTCTATTGCTTGCTCTTGTTCTCTTGCTCGTTTCCTAGTACTACTGTTGCCACTACTGCTAGCTCTTTTCTTTACTACTACTGATTCCTCTTTTGTTTTCACACTAGTAATCTCCTCTTCCTCTTCCTTGACATTGTCATCCTTTGTAATATCAGTCCCATCTTGTGGTAAAACCCCCGTCGTTTCCACCTTGATCTTTTTTTCTTCTTTCTTAACAACGCTCAACCGATCTCCAAAAGAACGCAAATCAGCTGTAAACAGTACCTAAAATTTGTTTTTTTTTTCTCTAATCAGCTTCGAGGGGGGCGTAAAAGTAGTGTGTGTGAGAAAATTTAAAAGATAAACAAAAAAACAATACAAACCGAATGCGCCCAACCACTGTATTCACCAAACAACGATCGAAAGTGATCCCCTACTTGATCATACAGCTTCAAAGTCAACGTTTTGGCCTTGTTGTTGTTACCAAATCCATAGTCGCGTAATGCAATTTGCCACACATGCGTGTCCACGGGAATTGCTTCAGGATGATCGAGCGACATCAAGCACTGTTTTTTTTTCGAGGTAACACAAAGAAAGAAAAAAACAAGGTCATCAATACGTTCAAATAATGCGTTGGCATCGATCTATATAAGAAAGAGAGAGAGAACATACCACGCAATCAGCTACTTTGGGACCCACACCAGCCAAGGAGACCAACGCTTGCTTTGCTTCTGGGTAAGACACATTCCGCAAACTGGACAACCAATTAGGCGGATAATCGTGTTGAATCTGTTTGGCTGTCTGAGCAATATACTTTGCACGATAGCCGAATCCCAACTGTCTCAGTTGTTCCTCAATACTACTCTTCTTTGCTGCTGCTGCTCCTGCTGCTGCCAAAACATGGACTGCCGGGAAATCATAATGATCCACACCATCCAAGGTCGCAATATAAGGTCCATAGTGTGTGCAGAGTTTGCCGACCATTTGTGATATGCGTGCAATATTATTGTTACTCGAACAGATAAACGACACTAGGTTTTCCCATGGATCTTGACGCAAGATCCGAATGCCTTGGAAATGGATGGATTTGTCTTTAAAGTTGACGTCCAGTTGGCTCCAGCGTTGATAATGCGATTCCAATGACACCACTCGATCCAGTTGAAAATAGTCTCGTAAGGTGGATTCCATCATCGTGGCGGTCTTTTCTTCTTCTTCTTCTTCGGGAAGTATTCCGTAAAGAACGGTGGATGCTAGTGTATCCCCCCGCCGAAAACCAATATCGTTATTCATCGAGCTTATCATTCTTTCCTAGTTGCAAAAGAAAAAAGAGAGAGAGAGAGAGCTTACGTGTTTGCTTTAAAGTATACAGTTTGCCATTCAATACACATGACCTAATAATCATCATGCGGTTAGAGACCATCAATTCGACCTTTCTTTGAGCTGGAGTTATTGCAAGTTGAAGAGTTTGCTCTCTTTTTTTTTATTTACCATAGATCGTTCACATTGCGCCAACGAAAAGACTGACCGCACTTTAATGTGTCAAGGTGAAGTTCTTTGGGACCCACTCGTAGATCGCGCCATATTAATTTGGCTGAATGGACTTGTTTTGACATTTATTTTTTTTTAATAAAAGTAAAAAGGGAAAATTAAAGTTTTTCTATCAAAAGTGTGGGTTCCACATGCACGCTGGTAAAAAGGCCCAGTCTGCATTTCTTTTTTTTGGGTTCAAAAAGCAGGGCGCCCTTTCTTTATCTCTGTCATTTTTTCTTTCTCTTTCTTCTCTTTCCTTCCCTCCCCCACCTTCACTGCAACCCTCTCTCAGTTGCAAGATTACTCTTTTTTTGTTACTTTCTTAAAAGAAAAAACGCACCTTTTTGTGAAAAAGTCACACTTTTTTTTTCCAATTCACACAAAACACGCACATTGCAAGGCATAATGGGCAAACCTAGAGACACGACAAGGTTGAACAATTCCAGCCGTAAAGGTGGCACCAGGAAAAGTTACCTTGACAGCGGTGACACTATCAGTAACCATGGCGGCGGCAGCAGCAGCAGCAGCAGCAGCAAAATAAGCAACAGCGGTAGCACCAGTCATAGCAGTAGTAGTCGTAAGACCGTCCATGTCTTGCATAAGGCTTCCTCTAAAGAATCGCGCTCAAGCCCTTGCTCTTCTCACTCGCTCGGTGTCAAAAGTTCTGGACGGATCACCAAGCGTTCCCATAGCAAAAGAACGATTGAGCGACGTAAGTGTTTAGAGAGGTTACTACGGCAACAAACAAAAAAACACACACACACACACACAACCTGTTTATACATTTATCTTTAGAAGTAAGCTTGGAGACAGAGGAAACGTATTGGCGTGAATATACGGGCGTGATACCTGACGAACAACTCGAGCTGGAGGACATTTTCGGACGCGATCCAAATATCTGGGGATACCTTGAAAGCATGAATACTGCAGTTGTCCAGTCCCAAATCCTGACGCGTTCAGCGGTCGGTCCTGCAAAGGTCATACGAGCACATTGTGAAGATCGCTTTTCGTATCTGATAGGATCTGGCCCTACGTGTGACGTTCGGTTCGTTTGTAATAAACATGACTTTGTTACTCTTGGACAGAGCATCTTTTTTTTTACTGATGATGATGTAAAACAATAGTGATCCTGGCAACGTACTCTCACCAAACCACTGCATGATCTACAACGTACGTATATCCTGACTTTTTTAATATAATAAAAGCAACAAGTTATGGTGTTGGAAAAAAAACAAGGTCATTCATAACCCCCTTTTCTCTCTCTCCAATAAATATAGCGATGTGAAATCCACACCAACGACATTCAGGGCGCCAAGCCAAAGTCCAACCTCATTTTATTATATGATCGAAGGTAAGTGTAGCGGAAACGAGTTACTTGTTATGAACAGCGCGCAATATACCGATCTTTTTATTTTCATGTCTAGCAATAAGGGAACCTGGGTGAACAATGTCAAAATGGAGGAAAGCGAAGTTGTGCTAGAGGACAACGACATTATCAGTTTCAAGGAATCGAATGAAAGTGAGCCATGTAAGTTTATTACACCACCACCACTACTACTACTACTACTACTGTACTGCGAACAAACGTGTCTCATCTTTAAACCTTTTTTTTTGTTCGTCTTTGACAGATCTGTCGCTTAGAATTCGTCTTCCAACCTACTTTCGACATATCAAAGACGTAAGGCTTGGCAACAAGAGGGTCGTTGTTGTTACACGACATGGTTTGACACATCTTTTTGACTTGGACCCGCCCCCCCCCCTTCATGTAGACCTTCAATAATGGTATCAAGGCATATTACGCGTTCAATCGTCGTATTGGCTATGGCTCGTTTGGCGAGGTGTTTGAAGCCGAATGCCTTACTTCTGGAAGAATCGTGGCAGTGAAAGAGATCCCCCGAAACAAGTATGAGGGCAAGCCCAAAACGCTGCAGTCTTTACTCAGAGAAATTGCGATCTATACTTCTTTGCAGCATCATGTAAGTTTGTTTCTCTGTGCATGTAAATCCCAAAAAGTGTTACTCATTCGTTAGTGACTTTCTGTGTTTTCATATACGTCAACAGCCAGGCATTGTACGAATGGAAAGAGTTCTGGAAATCGACGGTACCTTCTATATTGCCATGGAACTGTAAGTGGACCTTTTTTCTTGTAATCGCTGTATTTATGTTTGTCGTACACACACACACACACACAAACCTGTATATTTGTTAAACTTGTACTCTCCCCAATGGCGTACACATCTCTCTCTCTCTCTCTCTCTCGCTCGTGTTCAAGTGGACAAAGCGGCGACTTGTTCGATCACATCAATAGTATCCCAAATCCACTGACCGAGGACGAGGTGCGAATCATCTTTGATCAAATCTTTCATGCTGTGGAGGTAAGCAATAGAGTTTTTTTTTTTCTTTGCGTAGATTGTGCAAAGCTGATTGATACATGTCCTCTGTTTCCTTTACATGTTTTTCCGTATGTGTTTGTGTGTACAGTATCTTCACGACCAAGATATCGCACATCGAGACTTGAAGCTGGAAAACATCATTCTCATGGATAAAAAGAACCTGCGTGCCAAGGTTGCCGATTTCGGTCTTGCTACATTCTATCGTGGTAAACCGCTCCATACCATGTGCGGAACGCAATCTTATGGTAAATCTCTTGTTTATCATATGTGTGTGTGTGTTGTGTTATCTTTTTTACTCCAAAATAATAATAATTACTCGTTTAATGATCAATCAAATAGCTGCACCAGAACTCGTCTTGGAAACAAGCTGCAATTACGACAAAGCAGTGGACATTTGGAGTTTGGGTGTCATGTTGTTTCTCACTTTGGCCAAGACCCCACCCTTTTATGATGGTATATATACAAAACATGATCTGGGGGATTTTCCCTTGGATGGGTGGATTGCTGACCTTTTGTCATTTATATATAGCATCTGTCCACCCACCCACTCCCGAAGAGCAAAGAATCATGCTTCAACGTATCAAGAGTGCAGACTATAACTTTTACGGGGCTGCAAAGTGGGAAACCATCAGCGACCTAGCCAAGGATCTGATCAATAACATGCTGGTTGTGGATGCCAACGAACGATATACCATCAAGCAAGTGTTGCAACATCCGTGGTTGCGGGAGGTTGAGGCAAGTATCCTCCTCGATTGACCCTACTCACATTACTCACTGTGGAAGTTAATCAATATTTGTTTCATTATAGGGTCCTCGCACGCATTTGAAGGGATACAAGCGGTGCCCCGAACTAGTGGAATACTTGAAGAACAAAAAAAAGTGTCCTTCTTCCGCTACCTTTGATTCTTCAGCACCCTCTTCACCCACGCCAACGATACCAGCAACAAGAGTCGCATCATCCTCCTCCTCTTCTTCTTCTTCTTCATCACCTTCTTTACCAGCTCAATCTGCCGGACTGAGCAGCGATCCAACATCACCGTTGGCTATACCACCAACAACATCACGTGGACAAGCAGCAGATTCCCCGGCATATGCTCAGTGACTTGACCTGTCTGTCTGTCACCAAAATACATGTAAAACACAGCTTTATCCTCTTGTTCATAAATCCCACCAACCCACCCCCCCTCTCCCTTTCACCTCGATCTATAAATCGCACCTTTTTCTTGTTGGCCGTCTACTCACCCCTCTCATCCCTTTCCCTTGATCACATGCTCTGTCACTCTTTTTTTTTTTTCCTTCCGTTTGTATGTACGTACGCTTCATCATCCTCATCATTCATGTTTTCCTGTTCTTTTTTTTTCTCATTGGCAGTATTATTAAAAAAAGTTGTGTGATTTTTCCTCGTAAAAAAAAGCGTCGTACATGAAATTAGAAAGTGTTATCACCATTACACCTCTTTTGACAGCCACCTCCTTATTTCTCGAATAACCAAAAACACCCCCTTCTTTCTGTTTCGCTATAGACTCCTCTCTCTCTCTCTCTTTCCTCTTTCCTCTTTCCTTTCCATACACACACACAGCCACTGACTCTCTCTCTCTCTCTCTCTCTTCGGCCTTTGCTCCTTTCTGTCCCAACTTCATTTGAAGCCTTCTCATACACGAACCCACCCGATCGGGGGCTCATTATGCCAGGTATGGAAAATTCAAAGTAAATGTCATTGTACGTCATTGACGTTATTCTTTTTTTGTCATTTCCACCATCAACCCCGACACCATCATGTCTTGATTTTACCATTAGATCATCTCGTCTTTTTCATTCACGGCGTAGGACAACAATACGAAACATATGGCAATATCCAACACCATGGTTCGTGTGTGGCTTTACATATCTATTTTTGACAATCTATCTCTCTGTGACTTATGACTCTTTGGCATAATTTAAGTATCTACAATACAAAAGAATACACAAGAAATGTTAGAGGCATTGTATGATGGGAATACTACAGCGGCGGAAGAAAACGACGATCATGATCGAACAGCATCTTCTTCTTCTTCTTCAAGTACCACCAAGATCCAAGTCGAATTTGTCGTTATAGGTAATAAAAAAGTGTAAACTAGCCAAGGAGAGGACCCCCAGTGACTCACCTTTTTGTGTGTATGTCAACCAGAGTGGCACAGCATAGTACACGCGTTGGTAGACGCAAAAATGGATCAAGCCACATTGGAGAATGTGCCCAAAGTGCGTCTAGCGACCAACCAATGGCTTATGGATTGCATGTACTGTACGTCTCCCCCCCCCCTTTTTTTCACGACCCGACGCTTCTTTGCATGAATCATAATATGTATGAAATGGGGGTAGATTTTTCAAAGCCGTACGGACAATTCATTATCGATGCCATTTGTCGTCAATGCAACACGGCTTACCATGACCATGGTGATCCTGAGCACGTCCACATGATTGGGTTCTCACTGGGTGGTGTGGCTGCGTACGACATTTTATCGATGCAATGGAAGAACAACAGTCTCGATACTACTACTACTACTACTACTACTACAAATGCTCCACCAACACAACAACAACAACAGCAGCAGCAGCAGCAGCAGCATGAACCGTGCATGTGTGCAACACCCAATGTCTGTGTGCCCAAGCTGGACTTTGAGGTGGAACACTTGTTTACGTGTGGCAGTCCCATTGGTATGTATGACCATGAAATTCACACGGCACTACTCCCCATCTCTTTTTCTTCGCTCCCCGCTAATAACCACCACCCCCATCTAACTTTCTACTTGTCTTTTTTTCTCTTCCCTCCCTCCCTCCCACCCACCCCCATACCCCCGGGGAAATGGCAATGGACCCAAAAAACAACACATACACAAATAATAAGCTGCGGCATTGATCTTCCGAGGATTCGATTACATGCATTACCGACCACCTCCACATACACGTATCCACAACATTTTCCATCCGTATGATCCGCTCGGGTACCGCCTGGAGACCATGGCTCATCCCGGCTTATTTGCCGACAGGTTACCCGTGCGACTTGCGCGTGCTCCACCGCGTCACAGTCGATTGCGGCTTCTGCCTCGTATACCCAACCTCGGCATCAAGGACTTTATTACACAATACTATATGAAATTGACCTACGACGAAGATACCAGTAGTAGTAGTAGTGATGATGATGATGACGACGATCTCGACGACGAAATACCAGCAACGACTACCAAGACCATCCATGACAACGACACTTGTGAACACATTGTTGGAAAAGACAAACGTACAATGTGTCGTCAATTGGTAGTAGTGAAAGAACAAAACAACAATGACAATGGCCAAGAAGTAGAAGAAGCAGAAGAAGAACAGCAAGTGGAACCGAAAGAATTCTATCCGCGGAGGATAGACTACATGCTCAACGAAACGGTTATCGACGCATATGCATCTGAATGGATCATTGCCATCAAAAGTCACTTTCGCTACTGGGCCAATCGGTAAAAGTTTATTAAGCGGAGAGAGAGAGAGAGAGAGACACAGTCATTGAGTGGAAGCGGGACTGTTTTCGTACCTGAATTTAATTATCTCTACTGCGATTATTAACTTTAATCTTTTTCAATACAGGGACCTAGCATTCCATATCGCAAAAAGCTTATTAGAAAAGAAAATAAAAGGACCCTACACGAGGAGCGGATATGCTTCTCAATGAGGTAAACAGTCCGCATTATATACATATAATCCCAAAGCGGGTCTGCGCTGAAAGTGCAGGGACCAAGAAAGAAAGAACGGGAAGCGACGGTATGTTCAAGTTGGTTCCCGACCAATCGATGACATCGGGAAAAAATTTTCTATTAGTATTACAGCGGATCCCGATGGGACAAGAAAAAAAGAATTACAACAAAATGGGGGGGGGGAGGGAGGCTGGAGAGATAACTGTGCTATACGAGTCTCATCTTTTTTTCTCCCGTAGTGGTCAAAGAAGTTTGAAAAGAAAAAAGGGTAGGGGGGGGGTAAACAAAAAAGAGCTGGTGTGTCTGGGATGAGGGAGTAGAGGGAATATACACAGGGCTGTGGGAGGAGGAGGAAGGAGGAAGGAGGGTTATTGTTTTTTTTTGTTTGTTTGTTTCAATGCTTTCCATGCTTATGAGCCATCATGGCAATGATGGCAGCACCCAATCCAGATCCATCGCGCGCCAGAGCGAACCGCACCTTGTTGGCAGCCTCTTGTCCAAACAATTCGGTCAACCCTTCGCGAATGTGATGTTCGAATTTGGGATAGAATTCAAACAGCGAGCCATCAATGGCAATGATACTTTCCTGACCGACCTTGCCACAGTGCGACATGACACCGCCGATGCCAGACGCAGCCAGGCGTGCAGCACGACGACCCACAAACTCGCCTATCTTCTTGACCATCTGTCGATCGGCCAGCGTGGTCGACGACGCGACACCCACCGTCTCCTCCAAGATTTGCTTCGTCTCTGACAGATCCGCTGTCTTGTCGTTCTCGATCGCAGTCAGGTAGGCTGTCTCAAAGCCCCATTGTGTGTTGAGCGCCGGTGAGGACTCGCCGTTGAACAGCAGGTACTGGTCAATCAGCTGCAGCATCGCGTTGCGTGCAATCTCGCCCAGGTACATGCCCGAAATCATCTTTTCAAACAGCTGTTGGTGGATGTTGCGTGATTGTCGGTTGACCTTGTTGTCGTACATGGTCAGTGGCAGCACCTCGCGCTCACAGTCAAACGCTCCCCATTCCATGTTGACGACCATTTCATCCGAGCCAGCGGAAACGTCGTTCTCGGCGGGGGACCATTTCTTGATGTTGGCAGTCTTTTCATAGTAACCTTACATGATCATTTCACGTACACACAGTAGTGAGAGAGAGAACGGGTACACAAGAAAAAAGGCATGTTAGAGAAAGAGAGATAGAAAGAACTTGACACTGGGAAATGGGTTCAATGAATGGATCTCAAAGAAAAAAGAAAGCACACTCACTGGCGTTGGTGCCTGTGCCTAGAATGACTCCCATGACCGTATCAGGGAAGCTGTAGGCATAGGCCATCAAGGTACCGACCGTATCATTCACAATCTATGACATAATCTTTTTAGTTTCTTTGCTACTTTCCCCCCCCCCCCAACAACCGCAAAAACTAACCCCGCTTTTTCCCTCTTTCCACCTCCTCTGCCCATCTCCCCCCAAAAAAGGACACACCCAACCTTACTTCTTTTGCACCCATCCACTCTCCCATCTCCCACCCTTCCCCCTGGCCCTCCCCCCAAAAAGAAAAAGGCGGGGTGGGGGGCCGGGTCCTCGGGAATCCCCAGAATGTAGTGAAGCCGCAACAACCGGTCAAATTAACCCGTCGCTGCCCGCCTCTCTCTCTCACCCACTACTACCACAGGGTAAAACTACTTACAGCTGCAACATTGACGGGCAAGTTCCGTCTTGAGATTGCCTCTTGCAAGGTCAGCGCCACATCTTTGCCCACGGCATTCTTTGTCGAAAAGCCCTTGGTCCACTGCTTGAGCACACCTCGGTTGATCTCGGTCTGAAGGACAGGGAACGAGAACGTGTAGCCAAGTTGGAGCTTCTCTTCGCCCTCGCCAGGCAACGTGCAGTGCTCGGTCAGGAACGTGTCCACACTGTCGGCAATGTAGTCGCAGAGGTCCCGCATGTCGCCCGTCTTGAGCGCGTCTGACACGACAAACTTTTGCTGCTTAACACTGTAGTCGCCTTTGCCCTTGAGCTCGAATTCACACACGCGCAGGTTCGTGCCACCGAGATCGAGCGCCAAGTAGCGTCCCACTTCTTCGCCGGTTGGACGACCGGTGACATAGCTTGGAATCATGGCCACTAGATAGATAGATAGAGAATTATTTGAGTACGGTCCCATCAAACGGTTAAAAAAAATCCCCCCACCCGCCTTGTTCCATGTGTGTACCTGTTGCACCCTCGTGATCCAATCCTTTACGCATCTCTTCCACAAATTGGTTGGTGATTGTTCGCAAACGTTCGGTCGTCACGTCAAACTCTTGGGCAAGACCGTTGATTGCCTTGTTTTGCGCCTCGGTACCATCCACTTGATGATTGTAAGCGGCAGCAGCAGTCATGATGATGATTTACGGCGCTGTTGTTGTTGTTGTTGTTGTTGTTTGTTGTGACTTGAGAGAAAAAGAGAGAGAAAGAGAAAGAGAGAGAAAGGAAACAAGGAGCAAAATAGAAAACCGACCCCGTTTTATATACCAATTATGGATGGTAGTGGACTGACTTTTTTTTTTTTTTTTTCTTGTACGACTCTTCTTTCATAGAAACAGCCGAACGGGTTTTATTTTGTTGCTGCTGTTGTTGTTGTTGTTGCTGTCCTTTGTCGTTTGATATGTCTACATACGCATTATGTTATTCGTACTGTTTTGGGGACACGGGTAGGGTGACGGCCTGAACCAGAAAAGGGTGGGAAGGCCACTCAACCCAGTGCTGGGGACCCCCCCTCCCTCGTATAACTTCTTCTTCCAGCTCCAAACCCAACGGAAGATCCCGTTCTTGGGTTCAGCCGGGCATAAACATAATCAAGCAAACTCAACACGTGGTTATCCACTTGTTGTTCAAATTGTTGCTCAGCAAACATACCAGGAATCAATTCAATAGCTTAAACAATTTCTCCCTTCACGACTGTCGTTGTGAGTTGGTAAGGTGGGTTGGTTCGCGTCTTCTGTTGCCCAGACACGAAGTTTCCTGTTAAATGCATTGTTTTCTTTTACTCTCACATGAGATCATCAAGTGTTGTCATTGTAGGGTGCATCGTGTGTATAACCCAGATTCTTTCATGCCACACCCAAAAAAAAAAAAAAAGGTGTCAACCTAAGGGGTGGGTTGCTCTTGGTCCAACCACTGTATCTGTTCTCACTTTCAGAATTTTGCATGGACGCTATCTAGCAGTTTGTACTAATACGATCCACTGTATACGTTACAATCTTGGAAAAATATCGCACGGGCATATGCGCGTGAGTATCTGTAAAAAGAAATCGACGTTTTTAAGCGTGAGTTTAAGGGGGGGGAGCCGTTCACCATTTGTTTGATGATCCCTCTAACTAAAAGCGAAAAGCAAAGAAAATCCGTGACTTTTTTATCATGCGATTTGCTGCTCTTTGGGTAGTCTCTGCGTATGTATTTTTCCCAATTAACCGAAGAACCGCATGATGGTTTGTAACTGGAAATCCATCCTAATTTACATGGGGGATAAGCGGTGGGCGGTGGAGATGAGATACTGCACACTTCCATCTGCTGTTAGTAGTCCTGGCTACACACACACATGTAGTATATAATATAAAAGCAAGATGCTACTGATCACATGGTTTGTATACTCTTAAATGGTGATGACGATGGCTGCATCTTTCTTCTAGGTGTTTTATCAAGCGGGAACATCTTGGAGTTTTTTACGTGAACAGCGTCGGATAAAGAGAGAGAGAGAGAGAAGCAGTGTTTGATGGAGCGCGATAACAGCATCACTGTATACAAGTAGCACCAACAACAATGACTTGGCTTGATTATCAATACCATAACTACGATAGATTGCTACACACAGAATTATTTACGCAGGTACTGTAACATAAGCAGCTCATCTGTACATGAAAATGTGTAGATCTAGAGTGGAGGAAGGAGGGATAATAATTAATCAAGCAATCAAGATTTGACATTTGTGAAACAAGAAACATCTATATAATCGTACCTCCTCAAAGTACTACTAGCAGTAGTAGTAGACTAAGGGCTGACTACAGCAGGGATTATTGGGAAAGGTGCTGATGGGAGAGGGTCCTTCTTTCTTATATGTCGTAGCGTCGTCATCGATTTTCTCCCGCGATTGGAATTCAAGTAAAAAAGAAAACCTTTTTGTGTAAGCTTACTTAATACACACTCTATAAAAGTTTCATTCAATCATAACGGCAAAGACGAACAACTGGAGCAGGGGGGGAAATACTGGGAACGGGAGACGTGGGAGCTTTTATATTTTCCATTATTGTCGTACACTTGTCACCATGTCGCAACATGTATATAATGAGCTATAATTGGGTCGGATTACCTAAGGCGTTGTTGTTCCAATCGATCCACAGACACGCACTTCTTTTAGTCGACCATTATAGCCAAAAACAATGCCTTTGACACAGCTATTGCAATGTCCATCAACGGCATATGTACTATCATTAACCGGCGTGATGCCAATCTTTATCTTTTAACAATTAAAGCACCTGTTGTGCTTTTACAGTACGCCCCGCGACAAAGAAGAATCGTATCAACATAATGCAATTTATATATGCCAACTGCTTCGCCTTGGAGTATTTTTCCTCCTGGTCTCCACACTTTCTTCTTGAAATTTACGTTACTGGGCAGATTTGTACGCTTGTATTCTTATCTTTTAATCTTTTAGCTTCTTGTGCTATTGGTAAATCTGAGAGAAATGCAAGATATCATATATACTCTTTTTGAGGTGTTACTTTGTAGATAATAGCAAATCAAATCAGCAGCCCGCGTTTTCTTACTGGCTGTGGTCAGTATGATTCAGAAACTGTGAATTTACCCGAACGCATCTTTTTTGGCACTACGTATCCATTTTTTTGTGCTTATCACGCCTATACAACCTACTACGTCCTCCCCTTCCCCAATTAATGTTTCGTATTCGTAATAACACCGCCACAACTATAGCCGCTGCCACAACGCGTCGTCGCTTCAAGCATTCACTCGTACAATTCAATAATGCCAATGTCCATCGTTTCGGCACCAAAGAACCAACACTTGAAAACTTGACCCTAAACATCAACAGCGACCAACGACTTGTCATTGTGGGATCGGTGGGTGCGGGTCGCTCCACACTTGCTGAGGTATTATTAACTATAACCCGCCCACCATTTCAAACAATGGAATCCCGAGAAAAAAAAGGGGAATTTGGTTGTCCTTTTGCATAAAATAAAGAAAGTTGGTTTTTTTTTTAAAAAAAAACTCGCGTTTTTTCCTTGTTGAAAAGGCACTTGCAGGTCGTCTTCAAATCCAACCATTGTCAGCAGCAAAATGGCCTGTAGTGGAAAACACAACTTTTCCTTCAAAACATATTAAGCTCGTTTCATTCAAAGAAGATTCCGGTGCTTTTTCATACAGCGGTCATTATTATCAAGAGCGGTTCAATTTTAGGTAAGAGAGAGAGACGCGCTATTTTCTTTTTTTATAAAGGGCATGTCAAATAACTAAAAATTGAAAATGTAGTGATCCTGACAATGATGTGACACTGGCGCATTATCTTGGAAAGGATGCAGATCCAAAAGCACTGGCTCAAGTGACAGAAAAGCTCAATCTTGCTCATTTGATGCCCTTGTCATTTGTCAAGCTGTCCAATGGCCAAACGCGTCGCGCACGAATCGCACGTGCTCTCCTACGCAGACCTGCCATGTTGATCTTGGATGAACCCCTGAGTAAGTTCTATCATCATCATCATCATCCAGGCATAGATATTTAAAAACTTTAATTTTTTTTTAAAGTGGGTTTGGACGTGCAGCATCGTGCCAAATTACTTGAAACGCTCGGCGAATTGGATACACCCGTTGTCGTTGTTTTACGGCCACAGGATGAATTCCCTGCGTGGGCAACAGATGTCGTTGCGATGAAAAACCTAGCGATCGAATGGACCGGTAAACCAGCAGAATACCTTGCAAAACGCGACAAGGCTAAACAGCAAGACGAACAAGAACGTGAAGCCTATCGCCAAAAGATGCTGGCGCAAGAAAAACAGACGCACCATAAAGAAGAAAAGAAACCATCGGTGGTTGAGCTCAAAGATGTCAATGTGGTTTACAGTGGCAATAAGATCCTGGACACTATTTCATGGACTGTGCGTCAAGGCGAACGATGGGCTTTATTGGGTCCCAATGGCTCGGGCAAAACAACCTTATTGTCCTTCCTGACCGGCGATCATCCACAAGCCTATGCAAACGAGCTCTACCTATTCGGTCGTCGTCGTGGTACCGGCGAATCCATCTGGGAAATCAAGCAACGCGTCGGTTTGGTGAGCCCTGAAATCCATTTGTATTTCAATCAGACCATGACAGCTTTGGAAGCAGCGGGGACAGGGTTCTTTGATGTGGTGGTGCCTCGCTCTTTGTCGGACGAGCAAATCACCACTGTCAAACGATTGTTTGATGATTTTGGGTTGCAGTCGTTTGTCGATCGACGCTTGCGAGACATGTCTTCTGGCGAGCAGCGAATGGTTTTACTTATTCGATCACTTGTAAGGTCTCATTGGATAGGGTCTCCCCCCCCCTCCCCGCCATTTACAAGAAGACTTTATTTTTATTTGACGTTCATTTTCCGTCTTAGGTGAAAATGCCAGAGCTTATTATCTGGGACGAGCCTTTCCAGGGTTTGGATGACAAGATGATCAAGAGTATCAACAAGTGGTTAGAGGAACATATGAGACCGGATCAATCGCTTATCCTGGTCACGCACCACGAAGATGAAATTCCACGCGCTGTTGTGAACCGCTTCAGGTTAGGTCCTGGAGGCATTGCCGCAAATTAGACATCATTAGATGGCTGAGTATAAGGAGATCAAGTGTATATAATGTTTTATCCAAATGTGTATATGATAAAGATAGAGATATCTACGATGTTTGCATCATAAAAAAAAGAAACGAAAGGGAAAGATATGCCAGATATAATACAAGATATGTATGGTGTTGTAGTAGTAGTAGTAGTAGTAGTAGTGGTAAAGGTAAAGAAAGCAGCAATAACGGTCAAAAGAATGAATGGAAAATAATATGTACATCTAGTTTAAACAAGTGTGGTAGTAGTAGCAGTGGTGGTCGAGGTAGTAGGAGGAGTCGTAACAGTATCTTCCGATCCTTTTTCGGACCATTGGACATACCAGTCTTTGAGCTGTTCCATCACAAGGAATGTCACAATTGTATGCGGACCAAGCCGGACAAAGGCTGGCATCCATCCTTTGAAAAGCGAGCCGAAACCTTCCGTCTTGACCATGTGAATCATGATTTTGATTGGATGCTTGTGATGTTTGCCATCCACCATCAAGTGTGCGCTCATGATACGGGTTTTCACCACATCCAGGGGTGAACATACCGTTGTGGCCACTAATGCCTGTTGTTGATTGCAAAAAAAAATGAATGAATCAATTATAAACAACCTTGTCCAACATATATATGAACCCCAAGGAAAGAAGGGCACTTACTGCTGAAAGACTCGCCGCAAAATGGGTGGTCAAACCATCATACCATTTAAGCCCACCGACAAACATGTCCTTGAACACATCGTAGCTCGTCATTTGGGATATTGTCATCAAGACTGCTCGGTTGGTGCTAGAACCTAGTCCACGGAACAACACACGAGGGCCTTCATCACGGCATATCCGTACAATCCCATCGATAGCATTCTTGTAATTCCTTCGTTGGCCTGGAGGAAGCTGTCCATCGTTTTGCATGCTAGAAAAAAAAAGCCATGAGGATAATGAGTCTATAAAGGATCAGCGCCCCACATGGAAAAGAGTATATATATACTTTACCGCACATTAACAACGTCCGAAGGATTGCCAAACGCGCCTCCTAGAATCCCAGCTGCTGTGGAACAAAACAAAAGTTGTCCAAACGTAGGTTCTATACATCATCATGTGGGGTCGTAAGATATACATGATAGAAATAAAAAAAGGGGCTTAACCCCCCTCTCTTTTCATTCCAATTCCCCAATGGATAACAAAAAAAAAAAAAAAAGAGGATATGACTTACTGTCATCACCAGCCACAATCCACTTGAATTTATCATAAAGACCGAATCGGATGGTGGAATAAGTGCCTTGTCGCAATAAACTGGCTGATAAGCCGTTATAGAGCGCACGGACACCTTCGGTACGAGAAATACTCCACATGATTTTGAACATTCTGCTAGGTTGGAATCGACGTCTGTACTGTTGTAGTGGTTGTTGTTGTAACTGTTGTTGTTGTTTCCGGATCGTTTGTAATCGTACTTTGGTGAGATCGAAAGGGTGCGAAACTAAAGTTGCCACACACGACGCTGCTCCGCCTGCCCAGAACGGAGGTGCTTTGCTTCTCTTTCCAGCTGTTGTTGTCGTCGTCGTCGTTGTTGTATTTGAGGGCAGGCGAGTCGCAGCACCGGAGCGAACTGACATTGCCAAAATAATAATAAAAATAAAAAAGGTATCTACGAGGTGTAAGTGAGAGAGAGAGAAAAGAAAAAAGTGAGTAAGAGGGCGGTAATATATATGTTTATTATTATGAGTGAGAAAGAAAAAAAAAATGTCTTTATTTGTTGTTGCTTGCTGCTGCGGGTAACCAATTAGAAGCAAGTTAGAAATGCTGCTTGCTGCCTTTTTTTTGCCCCCAGTGTATGAACAACTCGCAACTTTCTCTCTGTGGGGTAGATCAAACATGTGTGTGTGTGTGTGTACAGAGGCGTGCTATGCTACGAGCAATTTGAATGGTTTATGCATAATCTCTCTCTTGTCATAAATAAGGAAAATAAGCCGAACCAGAGAAATTTCACTCTCTCTCTCTCTCTCTCACCCCCACGTTCTCTCTCTTTTTAAGATTAGATTTTATTCCGCTTCGGCCGACACTTTGGTCTGCACCACATAAAAATGGCCATGCTGCTTTTGCTCAGCGTGTTGCAATAAAACTCGGCCTCGTGGTTCTCCTGATTCCGTGGGCGCATTATCGGAGCGTGTAATCATACCCACATTGTCCTCCCACAACTGAACCAAGGGCTCCACGTCCGTCATGGCAAGCTGTTGGATCTGTTGTGTGAAGCGAGCCATTTGTTCCAGATCCCGTTTGAGATTGTCTTGCTCTTTTTGACTCTCCGGAGGTCGCAACTGAGCGAGTCGGAATAGGTGATTGAACTGTTCATCCGTAATGCTCGCTTGTTGTTGATCGTTTGAGGATGCTAGTAGAGATCGAATCGACCATGTCGCTGAGAGAGGCTAGTAGTGTTTTATATATATAAAAGGTGGGTCATCAAGATAACGCAAAGGAAAAAAAAAAATTAAAAAAGGGAAAAGATTCCCATATATATATATATACCACTTTTTTGTTTTGACTTTTTGTTAGAAGAGACTTACCAGACAATCCTTATCGACCTTGACTGATCCGCTATTTTTTGTAATGGCTACTTGATAGCATTTGTCATTAACTGATTTCTCTCCCTTTTCACTGCAATTGCTTGTTTACTTACCACTGGTAGCAAACGACCTTTGCTGCAGCAGTAATGGGCGTGTTGCTGATTGGAACATTGATCGTGTCTGAGCGCAACCAACAAAAAAAAAGGAAATACTCCAGAATTTGCGGTTGCTATATCTGGTTTCCTTGACAACAACAGCAGCAGCAGCATAATAACTTGTTGCCATACATCATACATTTCACCATGGTTACTCCCCCCTTTGACAGGTCGTCCCCCTTTTTAAGGGTGGCATATATAATCATTACAATTTATTATCATTATTATTATTACTACTGTTATCAAGTGTAGGACTGGTATAAATGACAAAATCTCTTTAATTCTTCTTTACTTTTGCATTTTTCTTTGTCTTTTCTGCTTTCTTGCCATTCTTCTCTGCAGTTACTTTTTTGCTCTTGTCATCACTGTTGTTGTTCTTTTTCTTGTTGCTAGACTTTGTGTCGGTCGTTGTTTTTTCACTAGATGCTTTCGCTTCTTGTGCCTGCTTCTCTGCTTGTTGACGTTCCCACTTTCTACGCTTGGCTGCCTTTCGCTTCTCTTTCAATTTCTAATCGCGCGTTGAAGCCAGTATAGATATTAGCAGCTAGTAAATCCCCTTATCCAATTACCAATTCCATCTTAACTTTACCTGTTTTGCTTTTTCTTGTCGTGCCTTTTTCTTCTCTTCTTTTGTTTTGGATTTCTTTTCCTCCTTCTCTTGGACGTCACCGTCACTATCGCTTTCGTTGCTTTCTTCTTCTTCTTCTATTTCGCTGTCATCCTCTGCCTCGTCTTCTTCTTCTTCCTCTTGATGTTGATGACTATCGCCGTTTGTTTGCGGGTGGCGCGTTATAAACCTTAATCGACGTTTATGTTCCTACAAGAATCAATTTTTAATATTTCAGCAATTCATACTCTAGCCTCCTAGCATCTGTCATGTACATAGAACGCCTTTCATTACCTTGCTCTTCAAGTGCACTTCTACTTGATCCGTATTCTTCAGGACCTTTTCAGGACATATATCACATGCATATACAAGTCCACCTTCTTCCTCTTCCTCTACTTCTTCTTCTTCAGACATATCTTCGTCGTCCATCAAGTCGTCAACAGCATCTTCTTCATTAGTCTCGACAACCGAATCACTCTCATCGTCGTCTTGTTCAGATTCATCGCTTTGATCGTCATCGTCGTCGTCACTATCGTCATCTTGCACGTTGCCTGACGATGCTTTCACCATTCGATTATATCTTGTTTTGACGCGTTTCGGCTTTGGTGCAAACGATTCAACTAGATCGCCGAGCGATCCATCGCTGTCACTGTCGTCGACATCAGATTGTACCGTGACAAGCTTTTCTTTGGGTTGTTCTTTTTGAGTGGCTCTTGATCGCTTGCTCATTTATGCGTTGTGTTTCAATAAAGTTTGGGAACAAAAAGAGATAAAAAAAAATTTGCGCGCGGCAAGACAGCACGGATCGATCGGGATTTGTACCGCTTTTTTGGGGGTTGGGGGGGGAGGAGAAACAGTGAAACCCTATTATTTAGGGATGTTTCAACTTTGACAACACGTATAGCCTTCCAATTTACCTCCTTTTACCTATTTTTTTGTGTTAGCGTTTGCACTATTATAATTATGGTCCGTATCAACGCATCAGAGCTAAATCGAAAGATAGAATTGTCGCAACCTGGAAGACGCATGCCCTATCTTTGTGCAGCAAACAGAGCACTTGGATGGCGGATTCTGTCGGAAGGCATTACAGAGTAACTATCATAAAAACACAAAGAAAGAAACGATATGATCCTTCACACTTATACTTTCCCCGCGCACGATCGCTATTTGCCATCGCATTATAGAATTACGAAAGGCTTACGGACCAATTGTTCTGAACTCGACAACGAAAAATACTTGACATCGATGGCTGAATCCGACAAGGTTCGTATAAAGCCTTTTCTTATTTTAGATGGAAAAAGTACTCACTTTTTATCCTTTGCTCCAAAAAAAAAGAATGTAGGCATTATTGCAATAGGCTCGGCGTATCGACGGAAAGATGGAACCTACTGTCTGTACTTTGTGAAAGATTTAATGGCCCTCAACAACGTTGTTGTCCATGGCTCACGTTTTCAGGTGAGTTTGGGGTTTTTACATAGAAATTCCCTCTCACAGCAGCAGTAGATCGATAATAATGATGCACACACATACAGGTGGTCCACGTGGAATACCTGGATATTCCTGTTCATTCACTTGATTGGTCTGGATCACATCTTCTAGTCAGCTCAAAGCAAGGCATCACGCGGCTGTACGCCGTTCGTGGACAATTCAAGGAAGGACAAGAAGATGACAGCAAAATTACTCAAGCAGCAGAATATACCATGCCGGTAAAAGTATCTTTTTTTTATCATTTCATCGTCAGCATTCCACAGCTACTACTGAAATATTGAACAAAACAATTTTTTATTTCACGTATACGGATGTTTGTTATTGCAGATAAAACAGGTGCATGATGCTCCTGTTGTTCCCGGTCAATACCCTATGAACAGTCTGGTTAAATCCGTACGATTCAACGCGAATTATTCTGATGAGCGCGTCTACGAACTTTGGCAACCTCTTACACCTTTCTCGACGACGACGAATGTGACAGAAGATCAACAACTGCAACAGGAAAATGAATCCAGCGCATCATCAGTCTCGACCGAGTTTTTGACTACTTTTATGAGTCATATCAATGTATGGGATGCACTACACGAAGAAAAGCCAAAGTTCAGTCTCAATGTAAGTTCTTGATGATAGAGTTGAGCCCGCCTACTGTACAAGATGTTATTAATTATATACAACTATTGTAGCTTGGAAACACCGACCCGATCAATTGTGCCAACTGGTCACCCCATGCACCGCACACACTGATTGTCACAGGCGGCTGCGGTCGTGCTTTAAGAATCATCGATGTACGTGCCAAAGATGTGGTTTGGCAAGCAGAAGAAGCACACCAGCGGCCAATTCGCGATGCAAAGTTCAATACGTTTATTCCTTACTGGCTAGCTTCTGCTGGTGAAGACGGGGCCGTTAATCTCTTTGACATTCGCGCTTCGTACCATGCACCTGTCGCCAAAATAACAGCCCATGAGGGTGTTGTAGAATCAGTAAGTGAGAGCGTATCGGAAAAAGCACCTGATCCCTTGTTTTGTACTACATAGTATGATGTCTATCCATCGCCACACGTTAAAATACAACAAATACTAGATTTCATGGTCCAACATGCGTCCAGAAAATTTAACCACTGCTTCATCAGACGGTACGATGCGCATGTGGATATTCAATACAAATACACTACCAGTTTTCGATACGCATTACCAAACTGCCAAATGGACAAAAACCGATACGCCGCCAGCGACAATTCGTCCAATGACGAAAGCTTTGTGGTATTCCTGGCTAGGAAGCACGGTGGACGAGCCATGGAGCGCTGTTGATCAACATATAAATTATGGCGACAATGACGATCCCTGGGGTCATAGTACTGATTGTGATCCAGAAGCCATGCTTCTGTGCGGTGCCATAGGTATCGGTGAATGGGGCAGGTCTGATAAAGGTCCAGTTTATGTTGGAGAAGATTTTGAAAAAAGCAAAGGCCCAGTTGTTGGAGGTAAAAAGTCATGACTCACTCTTCTTTTTTTTTTCTTCTGTGCTGTGTTGATTGGTTGCAAGTGCGCTTCTCAACATTTTGTATTATTATTGGGTTTTTTTTAGTGTCTACTTCAAAATCGTTGTTAGCCGAGTATTATTGCATAACTGACCGTGGACAGTTGGCTGTACAGACCGTGCGTCTTGAGAACGATGAGCAGATCAACTTTAAATTTAGGTAACTTTTAGCTGTCTGTCAATCTCTTTTATCTTGACAAGCTGGTAGGACTGTGAATCACTTACCAAAATGTATGAAATATGTATGTGTACATTTTTGCAGATATAAAAAGGAAGAATATCCACTGGCGTATCAAGTTGAATATGATATTTACAGTCGACACATTGATCGTGCATGGGAGGACCTAGAACAGCTCAAAAACATCAACTGCGATGACATAAGGTATGAAGATGAGGACAATCAAAGTATTTGTATGCTGTACAGTACTGGTTGAATTTTACAGCTCGTATTGCTAACGAGACTGGTTGCACTTTGCTTTCGTAGGGAACGAGAAGAACAGGTTACCTATCTGGAAAACTGTCTAAACGTTCTACCACCCATTGCACCAAAGACGTGGGGATTTGACACCATACCAGACAAAACAGACCGTCGCACGTCTCGAAGATTATGGAACCAAGACGATCTTTGGGAACTCGCAATATCCACGTTTCGAAAAGATCTTGATTTTTGGAGCAGTGCCAGACTTCCACCAGGCTATGAAACACGCTATGGTTTTGACGTGAATATCAAGGATCGAACGATGGCACCGGCCATAGTGAGTCCTTCCGTTACAACGATGCCTGAAGAATATGGTGGTGACGATAATGATTACGGTTTCGGAAACGCTGGTACTGCAGATAGCGATCACAGTACTACAATGTCGTCTGCTGCTGCTGTTTCTACGACTCAAGCAGTAGTAGAAGGCGGTGAGCAGGACCGGAAGCCAAGTGAACCTGAAACGAAGAAAACTGAATGGACTATTTCATCGCCTGCTAAGAATACCCCGGGAAGACAGCGGTCATCTACATTAAGCATTACACGTTCGCGAGCAAGCACAATCCGTAGTCTGGCTAGTGGATCGCTGGGGCGCTCAAGCAGTGATCGTCAGAGTAAGAATGATGTTCAAAATACAAACCCGTTCCTACAACAGGAAGTACCAACGCCACCAACATCACAAAACCAACAAGATCAGCAGCAACAACAACAACAACAGCAGCAGCATCATCACCATCGCTTTGTCAGGCCTACTCAATCTTTAAAGCGAATGTTCTCACGACGTAGTAAACATCATCAGCACGATCCACCACCTGAACCAAAGACGACGGAGCAAGAAGAAAGTGTAATGCCCGAGCCACCAATCAGTCGCAAGCGCACAACACGACGCAATGCACTATTTGGTGCTTCTTAAAAAAAGTAATGGTAATATCGCTTGATAGCATACAGAGTTATCTCTTGCTGTACATGATCGATAAAAGATTGAACAAATTGATTCTGTCTGCCCTTCAATAAAAACAGCTCTCATAATGTAGTTGCACATACACATTATCAACGTAAGACCAGAGAATCAAACAGAGAACAAAGCTTCTCTCTTCCACCTACAGTAGTAGAACATAAAAGTGTATACACATGCATGAATCACCTTTGACAAATTTCGTGTATACTTGTTTTGAAAAAGGGGAATGTAACGAGGTCATCCTATTGGCAAAGAAAAGTATGTTGATAAAAGTGGTCATGCACGGCGTAGAGCTACAAATGGGATGAAAAAAAATTGAGAAAAGCGTAGAGGCATAAGCGGTCATGCATATGGATCCTAGAAAAAAAAGTGGGGGGGGGGGCGCGTCCATTACCTTAGATGCCTTGATTACCGAGTTTGCGGTGACAATCGACCCACTTACTGTACAGCACACCACAACCAATGCAACCAATCCATTTTGTTTAACAAGTCCTTGTGCCCAAAATGGCTGCGTGTCTTGTTCAGCATAATTTTGATGGATCCTGTAGTAGTTCATTAATAAAAAATACTAGATGACAGTAGAGTTTTTGGGGATGGTGACTTTTTTCCTACTGAGGGAAAGTGGGAATAGTGACAGCGATGGATTGCTCTCTTCATTATTTCTTGAGAACTTTTATTTTGTAATCTTTTAGATACCGTGTTCGATCGCCGAGTTGGTTCTTCCGATATTTTTGATCCGCTTCACGGTATTGCATGCCCCTGCAGTATTTTTGCAGCAGTGCCTCCATTCATAAGGCTATTTCCGACATTTAGAGTTCTTTTTGCGATAATCATTTTCTCTAGTCTCTTCTTTTTTCTCAAAATTTCTCAAGTATATTTCTTTTAATACAAACCCGGCCGTCCTTGCTGTTACAATGCTGCTCAAAGTTTAAATTTTATATCCGTTTATACGTTACATAGTGAATTAAATTGTATGCTCCCTAATGATGCTTTGGCAAAGAGCTATGTACGCTGCACGCCGACGATGAAAACCGGGTCGCTTCTGAATGTCGAAATTTCGCAGCCTGATTTGGTCCATTTCTGCAGCGCATGCAGTAATCGTTCCTTGTAGGTTTTTTCAATTCAGTTATTATATCAGTCCTCATTTACCAATATCCCTCTTTCACATTTGTATCTTGAGCAAGTGTCCACATGCCCATAGGCGCCGGTCTTCTTCCCTGAACATCAACACATCTCGATCACATCTGGCCAAGCTTATTAGAGGGTAGTGGGCAATTTTAATACCCATAACTTTTTTTTTAGGTCAGATAGCAAGACAAAACTAACTGAAGCTAAATAAACTCTTCTATTAAGACCAGACGTAACATTCCTGTTCTTATTTCTCATTTACTTGGACAGACGTAACATTCCTGATCCTTATTCCTCATTCATTTTGGACAGACGTAACATCCCTGATCCTTATTTCTACTCACTGAGCTTAATCAAGAAATCAGCTCACTACTATTTACGACCTTGGACATAACCCATACACATTTTTACCTTACTTTACACTCATATCACTTCACAACCCGTCTGTAATAAACGATATTATTACTGGTGCTCACTACTAAACATACACCTAAACCGTTACGCAACTACCTGGAATACCCCAAATTCACCGTAACACTATTATGCTGAAGCGTAAGTATCAAAACTCTTTTACAGAGATTTGATATGAAGACAATGGTAAATATAGGTCATTCGGAAGTTCCGGAATCCAACACAAGAACTTGGATTGTGCAATATTTAAACCCACGCATAAAATATTTCACTCCGCGCACTGTTGAAAACCTAAGAGATCAGGGCAAAACGAATCAATATGAAGACACCCGTAACTTCGTACTAATCTTTTGTCCTGATGGTCTTTAACAGCTACATTTGGTTCTCAAAGATGTCCTCGGAAACAATAAAGGTAAGAGCTCATTTGATGAATATTACTATGCTCCTTCACCTTACACTCTTCTTGCTTATCTAAATTGCATATGTATAGATGGATCTGCGGAGCTTCAGCACATGTATCCGTTAGTTCAGCGCATGGTTGCCCGCGCTAATGCATCCGTTTTTGTTGGAGAGAGACTTTGCCAGGATCTTGATTTGGTTGCAACTTTCCAAGAGATCACTACAGACTTGGCAACCATGATGCGTTTTGAAAATTACTGGCCGGAAACATTTCCTGTTTTGCTGAAATTACAAATGTGGTATGTGCCCTTGAGGATAGCTGACGATATGCACACAGCAAGTATTGATATTATAAGAATGCTATTTAGGGGAATTGGTAAGTTCTCTCCAAAAGTCAAAAAGCACAGAGCCACAATGCTTCGATCCTTGACTCCAGAAATCGATTTGCGATTGAGCCGTGCAAAGGACGATCCCAATTGGCAAAAGCCTCTAAGCTCGGAGTATCTGTTTTTCTCTCGTCGTCGTCCTTTATTTCAAATGTGCAATTAAAAGAGTGTGTCGTATTTCAGCACTCAATAGATTGATATCCTTCAAGAGCTTATAGACCATGCCAAAGTTCCTCGTGACCGTGATATTTATAATCATATTGTAAATGAGATCATGGTCTTAATCTTTGCTTCCATCATAGCACGTCTGAGAATGGTACCATTGTTCTGTATCGTATTCTCCAAAATCCCGAACTCATCGATGAGCTTTTGAAGGAACAGCAAGAAACTATCGAAACCGCTGGATTAGACCCTAACGGAAAGAGTAACGAGGTGCTTACATACGATACTATCAAAGGCATGGTTAAGCTGGATAGTGTCTGCCGTGAAACAATGCGCCTCAGGAACAGGTTTTATGATCTTCTTCATACCAACATCTGTGGAAAGAAGGTCGTATTGAGTAATGGTACCATTATTCCACCAGGTAAAGGCTACATGTCAAATGCGCACGGACGTCCGATGCGTAACTGTTTTTTTTTCATTCTTTATTTGATATACTAAGCAAAATGTTCATTTTATATAGGTGGTGACGTTTTTATCAACTCTTGGTACAACCAACGGAGCAATATCTGGGAAGAGATGCATATAGATGGTGAAGATCGCGTAGAATTCAAGCCTTTCCGTTACCTCGACACTGGTTATTCATCGAGTAAGATTAGTGATGACTATCTAGTCTTTGGCAAAGGAAAACATGCTTGCCCGTAAGAGTTCTTTATTGCTTTCTTCAAAGTCTATGCAAATTCTTTTTACTAATATTTCGTATAATTGTAGTGCGCGCTGGTTTGGCATCCGATCCTATCAATCAAAGCGATCATTTCCATTCTCATCCGTGACTACAAAGTTCGCCGCACTAGTGACATCATTCTTCCAACAGCAGTGGACACGGACATGCCTTTCGGCGCCGCTTCTTTTGAGAAACTCAAATAAACAAACCCTTTCCTCTATCGAGGAAAAGGCATATATGCAAAATAGAATATTCTGGCAAAAAGATAGGTCACATTATGGTCCTAAGAGGCTTCTACCTAAATGTATAGGGATCCAATGTTTGGAAGAGTCGAGTCATGGCAACCATGACCGCGTTTATATATCTAGCCTATTTCAATTCATTTTGGTCGGCGGTTTGGCACGATATTTTCTACGTATAGGATTAGTATGAAAACTAAAGCGGAAATTGGGAGGGACTGTCGACGCCGTCGTGGATCCGTCCGCTTCTTCATCTATTCATTGACGCAGTGCAGCAAAAGAATAACATCTATTGTTTTTGTGATGTACTACATTAACTGTACCGATTATTAGTGGGGTAAAAGGATGTCTGTCTTTTGTGCTCATAAATCCTCTAACACCAAGTACTAATACTATATACATCCACCATTACAGTGTTCGTCTTTTACCATTCGTTTACCTTTTGTTCTCGTGGCTCTTTCGGCACCGACTGCTTCAACGCTAACACTCACCTCAACTGGAATTGCTGGCTTTGAAGAGCGACAATTACAATCAAGTTGGCCCTTTACAATGTTTAATTCTTTGTCTTTGATGGCTAACGTTATTGGCAGCCAACGACACAGCAAAGGTAAACTTGCGGTTAGTAAATTCAGCAATCATGTTCTGCGCGATATTGCTATATGTGCTTTCACCAACACCATATCATACGCCAGTTCCTTCTCAATAATTATAACACATTATAGGCGGGGTAGAGGTATTTTACTACAAGAGAGTATGGGGCCCTTTTTCTGCGGCGAGACACGTATTGTTTTTCAGCGCTTAAACACATCTCACACGTGGGTATTCTACACATGGAGCTTCCCTTAATGCGTTTCGTAGCCTTGTTGCACAAAAGATAGAGAACTTACAAGGTCTTTGCTTATAACAGCAATAATACAACAGTGAATTTGATGCCATTTTAAGGACGACGATATATACTTTGGCACTCGCAGATGCAAAATATTTGGACGAGCTGAGATTTCAACAATGTGGACGAGATGCAGTGAGTCCTGCTCGGCTACTAAAGTTTGTTGAAATGGAAGAACACCTCTAATAGTACATCCGCTTGTCCTGATCTTCTTGGCAACTTGCGACGCTTTAACAAATGCTATGCACAATATTCTCTTGCCCGAGATGCTGATCCAAAATTGCCTTATCCTCGAAGACTGGGCTAATGATCGACGACATTAAATTTGATGGTTTCCGGTCAAAAATATTGAGTACCAATTTTTGGGTATATCAGAAATCAAGGCACTGAAATTCTGTTGTGTTCTAGTCTTCGGATGTCAACATAGCAAGAATGGTGTTCGACAGTGAAGCAAGGGCAAGTATATCTTGAACAGAGTGTTGGATTCCGAACATGAAGCAAGTTTAAGCCCCAGAACCTTTGATGCTGCCTATACCGGAACGGAACTCAAGAGTTAAAGTAACGTAGCCAACGATAGCTGAGTTAGCAGCTGTTTGCTTTTTCGCCAAAGTGTCTTTCTCCATTTTTTGTAACCCACACGAAATAACTTTGATTGACAGCTGTAAACGTTATTCTACGTCATTTTGTCCCCCTCCGCTAATGCAAAAAAAGCGCTGTGTTTTCTGCGGACCTCTTGACCGACCCCCATCTCAGCCGAAACGGGATTGCGCGGGTTGCCATATATGGCAACGTGTCGTAAGGTTTGTTATATAAGCATATGCCCGCTTCTCGAAAAAAACCGTGTTTCTCTTCTTTCTTTTCTCTATCCCCCACATATTCCTTTGATAAAAAACCTTACAAGCACACACGTACACAATAGAAACAAATATGAAATTTTTGTCCTCGCTAGCAGTGTGTGTACCGCTCGCTGCACTAACCATTTATCATTTACATGATTTACCAACTGCATACGATCTATCCCGGACTTGCGAAGTCTACAATGTTCCAAAACTGACGGGTGTAACGGGATTCGACACAACGTTGTGTGTTATTACAACCGTTTTCAGTCACGCTTTCCGCAATCCCTTGGGTTACGATGTCACATGGCTACTCCTTGGATTCTTTGGTCTTGTCTTGACATTGTTTGCTCTCGAAGGTGCTCGGGCACGATCCAATCGCCTGCTGGCGTGTTTCTCACTCTGGGGCATGATTTCAAACTTTGGCGGCATGTCCGTCGTCTTGTTTTTATTCTGGATCCCAGCGCTATACTATAGCTCCAACAACGAATCAAGCAATGTCAAGAGTTTCCACATTTCACCTTCACGCGCCAATGCGGTCCTATTGGCTATTCTTGTCGGTTATGCATCACCCACGGCCGCAATGCTACTGACAGACTCGTTGCAAATGCAAAAGTGGGCCGCCATGATTTGGCAGTTTGCACCCTTGTGGATCCATCCGTTGTATTTGGGATTGACCTATTTGATGGCCTCTTGTCTCGATGATCCGTCGGCAGATATGCGCATGACACTTGAAGCTCGCGAAAAACTCAAGGTGGCAGATAGTCGAAACTCGGTCCAACGCGTCTATATGATTGTTGGCTTGATCAATGCCATGATCTACTATGTCATGTATATCCGACTCAAGATGAAGGGCATGCTTAATCTGGAAACTTTGATCAACTTGTACCACTTGTACAACGGCCAGTTGACGGGTGTTACCACCGAACAAATGGGACAGATCGTAGCAACACATGTCTTTGCCATTGATCTGTTGGTTTGCTATTCCGCTATTGTAGTATGGGCATTCTTCGAGGATGGAATTAAGGGTGTACTCTTGACGCTCATTGCATCCATCTTTGTGGGCCCTGGCGGTGGTGCTGCACTTTACCTTGTGTACCGAGAAGAACGCTTACAAGACACGGCTCTGTTACCTCGGTCCACGACTACTGCTGTTGCCACTCCTGCTACTCCTGCTGCTACCCCAAAAAAGAAAAACTAAACTTGTTTAATTTTACACATGCGAAAAAAAAAGCCCTTTTGTATAACTTTAAATTATTAATTAATAAATAAAAAAAGTAGTAATAATAATAATAATAATACAAACAGTGGGACATGTACGTTTGTTGGAGGAGAGTGCGTCAAGTTTTTCTATAGGAGGTATTTTCTAGATCTTCCATTTTGTTCCATGTTTTTGTTTAGAATACCAAGACGTAATTTGAGGATAAGAGCACAGACCGCAGCAAGAAGCATGGCACCACCATTAATCATATTGGATCCCACATAGCGCGGTGCATCGGAAGTCCATCCAGAGTATAGTGCAAAAGTACAGACGAGTGCACCAAAGTTACCCATGGAGGACACGACACCCGTTGCTGATGCTACACCCACGGCATCTTCTCGCAAGTTGGCTGTCCATGCCATACTCTAAAAGGAAGAATGTTTTGTAAGCATTAATATTACTCTTTTTCATCCCCGTTCCCCACAAGTACTACAGGAGAACGAAAAAAAGTTCTTACCAGAGGAACAGTGGGATAAGTGCCACCGGCAACAACCATCAATCCAAAATACCGTGCAGCGATTGGTTTAGCAAAGCTCAATATAACGAATCCAACAAACGAGGCGGATGAACAGCCAATGATGAACCATCCACGATCTTCCAGACGATCACTGAGTCGCGTGACTACATATACCATGATGCCACCAAAAACATACGGTGGGATACTCATCAAACTCACTTGAATGGAGTTGTATGTGCCCAATTCTTGAACGATGCGTGGCAAAAAGTAGCCCAATGAGGTGGCGGCCATCACAGGTGTAAAGTATAGAACGCAAAACAGCCACACCTTGTAATCCAACAGTTGTGTTTTCACTTGCAATAGATCGCCGTTGGAAAAAATGGATTTCTTCTGGTGGTCTTGTTGTTGCTGCTGTTCTTGAAGCTCTTCTTCTGTCAAGGCCAAGCGTTGGCGTATTAGAATGAGTTGCTCGTCTGTCAAGAACCGTTTGCTCGTTTCGGGTTTGGATGGCAGGTAAAAAAAGGTCGCAACGCCAAATATCACGGATATGATGCCTGAAATCAGGAAAAGCCTATTGTACAGACTTTAGCTTTTGTTTTTTCTCATGCTATTTTTATTAGGTGTTATATTACAAGCATCATACCATTGCCAACCGTAAAGATTGCCCTTTGTATCAATCAATTGTATGCCAGCAGAGATAAGGCCACCAAAAGCGCCTACACAGTGTTAGTCCATCCAAACAGACATATTAGCATTATTCTCTTTCCAAGTGTGTTTCTGTTTTTCTATCCCCCGAACCCCCCACTCAACACACCAGTTCCTTTTAGCAGCAACAAAAAAGACATAATTCTAGGCCATTCTGTATTTGTTCATCATACCTGACGTTGGACCAGCCAAGTATGTCACGCCAATTCTGGAGGAAATTTCATTAGGACGATACCACAGCGTCGTGTAATACGCTATACAAAAGAAGGCTCATTCAATACATTTGTTTGTAACACATTGTTGCAGTGTGCATAAACGATACATACTGATGCCTAATGATAGGTATAAGTGAAAATTCACAAAGCGGTTAGTTCCATCGACGCGCCTTTCTCTCTCTCTGTGATTACTGTGTAATATGCAATAACTTACCTGGCCAAAATCCTGCTTCGAATACACCCTGTTTTTTTAAAAAGGGAATTAAAACAATCAGTCCAAGTAAGAAATACACCTCTTTTGTTATTAGTTTCGCATACCAACAGGAATCGTAAGAGATAAAAATGCCACGCTGTTGAGATAGCAGCCATACATCCAGTGACAATAGACCAAGTGACCATGATTCTTGCCAGCCAAAATGCAGGATTGACGCGCGCCATAATCAGATTGGAAGGTACTTCGAATACCTTTGGTCGTCATTAGTGACGATATCCCTCTTTTCTCTTTCAAAAAAAGAAAGGACTTACAATATAAGCAACATAAAATAAACCCAAACCAATGTTATTTTCTCGCGCCGTAAGTCCAGCCGTTGTTGCTAAATCGTGTCCTTCCTGTTTGTTCATGGTCATTGCATAGCCCACATTGGCACGATCCTCGACACTGAGGAAATACAGAATGAAAATCCAAGGCACGATGCGCCAATCGAGTTTTCGTAATAGGGCCTTTTCTTCTTGGAGTAACTCTTTTTGTTTTTGTTCATTAGTGTCATTGATGGTGTTGTTTTTCTTTTCACCGTTGTTTGAAAGATTGCGCAGTCGAATGGCGTCATTGTCTTGTTGTTGTTGCCACCCGGTTAAATCTTCGCTAATGGGCACGGCACCGTCAGACTTGGTCATGGTAGGAGTTAATGTCGCCATTGAAAGATTTCGCTTTCCTGTCTCTCTCTCTCTCAACACTTGAAAATCTTTTGAATGGTCTCCGCGATTCTTTTGATAACAAAGAAGTTTCCCACACACACTACAGTACTTGAACGCTACACAAGACTTTATCCCCACAGCCGACCCCACAATTTTAAACTATACGCGATATTGCTTTGCATTATTTCTAATTTAAACGATACGATAGTCTTACCATTCACAGAAACTGTCAGTCACTCCAATTTATTACCATCGTGTTGTTATATCCGAAGCGAGTCCGGCAGTGGGCGACATGTATACGCTGGAAGACAACAACAGGCCATATGAACAAGATAATGGGTGGGAGGGGAGGCATCTAGCGCGCCGATATATATGATAGCAACTCGAAAAAGGTCCTAAATAACAAAGTTAGTGGCAATGTCTGAAGAAGGAGGTTGTTCTAGGTATCTTTAAACGTGATCTTCTGGAAAACGACATATCTCGATGACCTTATCACTATCATCACTGAGTCGTTAGAAACAATAAACAACGGATCCTGCATTTCATTGAATCTACAACATAGCATGGCTTGAGCACAAGGGGTGGTGCTGTGAATGATCATCCGTCTAACTGTCCCGCGTGCTACCAGACTTTTGCAACATACTAGTACAGTGGTTTATCAGCGTCATCTTTTTATTACTATCACACAAAGCTTAATTAAAAGTTGTAATGCTGCATATGAAAAGCCATTCATTCATTGAAAGGAACCTTCTGCAGGGAAACAATGGAAAACAACAACCCATGGATCTGATGCACATAATTGGAATATATCACTCGGTTTGGGGTAGCATTATTGTATCAGCGCTTTGTTCTAGTATAGTGTAGTACGACGATGATGTATACAGTATATAGCCTTTTTTTTTTACAAGTCAGTTCGCAGTGAACATCCATATTAGCCAAGTCAGATTGCTTCCTTATTGCGGTATTTAACCTAGAATGAAATACGATCATAAAACTTTGTGCTACGTGCCAATTAACAACAAGGGACCCCGTTTGTATATTAAATGAAAGTGTATTACACACACACACTTCATTTACGTATAAATTTTCCCTTTTTCTCTCTTTCTTTTCTTTCTATATATCTTTACAATTCCTTTTTTTTTCCTATAAAGAAGTAGGATTAAATGCCCTTCCATTCGTTTAAATTCTACTACTGTCTTCTCTTGTTGGCAGTCTTGTCCATGGTCTCTGCTCAGGGCGTCAGCCCTACCGGCGAAGAAGACGGAACCGCCATCATGGACGCCGCAAAGAAACTCAAGGCTGGTGATTACGTCTTCAAGTCGGCTGTGGGCAAAAAGTATCTTACGCTCATCAGTGACGGCAATCTCGTCACGCCCGAATCCTCAAAGCATCCACGCATCTGGGACGTACGCCAACACGATACTACAAAGTATTTCTCAGCACACGGGTTCAACAAGGCTGGTAATGAGAAGTGTATTTCGACCCGTTGGAACACGGGTGATGGTGATGGTGGCTTCCCTGATGCTGCCGTGGTATGTACAGTCATGAGCAACGTAAAAAAAAAACAACAACCCACCACCGTATCATTTCACTAAGTAAACCTTCACTTTTTTTGTGTATATAGCTCTGGCAATGCGAAGTCGATACCAAGATGCCTGAGGATACCGGAGGCTACGAAAAGATCTACCCACCCAAACAGCTCTGGCTAGCTGTTCCTGATCCCAAATACCACGGCTATTACAAGATTATTTCGGCCTCGCATTTGTATGACATGATCCCTCGCTGTATTGAGCTCAAGAAGATCTCGGGTGGTACCAAATTGACTGAATGCAAGCTGGATACCGATAAAAAGAGCTTGCTCTGGAAAATCCACAAAATTTAAGCCAATTCCCAAAACAATTAAAAACTCGCGATATTGTTTGATTTATGCGAATAGATTGGATGAAGAGCTTTTTGGACTAGACTATATTTGTATCGTTGTACAGCAGCAGGATGAATGAAGCAACTGGAGGGAGAAATAAGAAATGTCACGAGACCGTAGTATCATAGTAATAGTGGCAGTGTAATATGTGGCAAGCCGTGAGTCATATAAGGAGAGAAAAAATAATCATACAAAGAAAGATACTAGTCTGTCGGGTATCGACATACACATACGATGATCTTAAATATACCAGAGATTGGCATTCTGCAGGGCTTCCTTTTTCTTGTCGCCGACACGATAATTCGCATGAACGATCATTGGCTTCAAGTCGTATTTTGCAGGCACATTACGTTCAAAAAAGAGTCTGCCATGCGGGAACAAGGGCAGGTCTAGCAAGACGACGGGACTTGTCTGATACGACAAATCCAGCTCATCCAAGACACGGTTGATTGCCCTCTGCTGTGTGACCTTGGGTTGTTTATCCTGGATAAGAATAGAATCGGCCAGTATCCGTTTGTTCAAGTCCGTCGGCCGCATGACATAGAACCCGGAATTGACGATCTTTTGTTCTGTTTCCTGGGTAAACAAGACCTCTGTCTTGGATCCTCTGGCATTCAGCTTGTCGACCAAGTAGCGATAGATGCCCCGGTGGGTAAAGACAATGTCCACGTCTGAAAACCAGACGGTCAGGTCCATGTACAACAACCGTTCGACGACCAACGTCTTGGCATGTGTGATCGGCGTATAGTCATTGTCCAACCATTTGGCAAACCCGCTCGACAGTTTTTGATGGAACCACGCCTCTGGGATCTGGACAACATGGTCTCCATAGCCTGCGTTCTTGAGGGTTGCTTGCAACGCTTCGTCAATCGCAAATACGAGGTATTGGCCGTCTTGGCCCGTCCGTTTGAGCGATTCAATCCAGTTGAGCGTGTATTCAGCCATCCCTTGGTTGGCCACAGCCACGAGCAAGATCTTGTCCCGTTTTTCTTTTCGCACATTGCGTTGAATCGCTTGTCGGATCGCCATGCTGAGCTCGTCGTCGTCAAAGTGTTTTGGCTCCCACGCATCCGGTTGCGTCGGTGTCACGTCGACTTGGACAAGGTCTTCTGGGTCGGCGACGGTGTTGCTGTTTCCTTCATCCATGATGGCTGACGGCGTGGGTTGTACAAGATTACTACTGTCGCTCTCACTGTCGCTATGAATAAACGGATTTGCTTGTAGCGGCATGAGGCTGGACAGCAGTGTGGCGAGAGAAATGAAAAAGACTATACAGAGGATGGCTATAAGAGACCGTTTGTTGAATGCACGTTCCATTATTAATTTTGCTGCTGTTGTTGTTGCTACTGTAAGCGTGGGCTACGTGTTGTTGTTTTTCTCTTCAAACTAAAAAAAGAAAGAATGAAAGAAAAGAGTGCAAGCTATCTATTTTCTTTCTTTCTTCTTTCTTTCTTTCTTACTCCCTTCTCACTTTTCTCCCTTTTCCAAACTAGGCTTTGTTCCAATTCCTCTTTGCTCTATTATGGTGCAGAAATCAACAGTTGTCGTCGTATCGCCTGCGACTCTGCAGCCTCTCTTTGAGGTCCCCTGCGCCACACCCGCCGACATTGATGCGGCCGTCGCAAAGGCTGAGCAAGGATTTGCTTCTTGGCGCAAAGTACCTGTTGCCGAACGAGTCGCCATCCTTCAAAAGTTCTGCACGTTGTTTGAGCAGAAAAAAGCCCAAGTCGGTGAAACGATCGTCAGCCAGATGGGCCGTCCCGTGCGTTACGCAGCTGGCGAGGTTGGCGGTGTGCTTGAACGCGCCAACTACATGATCTCGGTGGCTGAAGAAAGTCTGGCGGATGAAGTGATTGAATCCACAGACGCCGTCCATCGTTTTCTGCGTAAAGAGCCGTTGGGTCCAGTGTTTATTATTGCTGCATGGAACTATCCTTATCTCACTATGGGTGCGTACTATCCGCCTTTTTGTTTTGCAAGGGGGAGGGGGGACTGCTGACGACGACCCAATGTTCTCTCACGCTCACTCTATGTTTCTCTTTTTCACAAATGAATCGCACCGCCATCATCAACAGTGAACAACGTAGTGCCAGCATTGCTGGCAGGCAACGCGGTGCTGCTGAAACAGTCTCCACAAACTCCAAAGTGTGCCGATCTGTTCGTCGAAACGTTTCACCAAGCCGGTGTTCCGGAGCAGGTGGTACAGGTCATGCACACGGACGACAATGGCGCCGACTATTTGGTGCGACACCAGGGCATCCAATACGTCAGCTTCACAGGCAGTGTCGCTGTCGGCAAAACCATCCGTCAATCGATTGGCAATGCCGAGCGCTTGATTGGTCTGGGCATGGAGTTGGGCGGTAAAGACCCTGCTTATGTCTTGGCCGATGCTGATCTGGACTTTGCGGCCGAGAATATTGTCGACGGCGCATTTTTCAACTCTGGCCAGTGCTGTTGCTCGATTGAACGTTGCTATGTCCATAGCGATGTCTATGAGTCGTTTTTGCAAAAGGCGGTTGCTATTGCTCAGGTAAAAAGTTAAATATGGGCTCCATACGCGTTAATAGTAACAATTGGCATACACACACACACACACACACACACAGAACTATAAATTGGGTGATCCAAGTGACCCAGAGACAACAATGGGTCCTATGGCTCATGTTCGCTTTGCAGACAAGGTGCGCGCTCAAATAGCAGAAGCAGGTTAGCGTCATCTACAAAGGCTATGAAGGGGGAAAGAGGAGGGGGGAAGGGAAGGGGGTTTTAAAAGGGTGTGTCTATCATGCACTCAGAGTTGTTGTTGTGCATAAACTGACTTACCGGAACAACACACAGTCGTCAAAGGGGCAAAGCTACTCGTTCAAACAGATCGCTACTTTCCGAACGACAAGGTAAAAAAAAATAGTCTTTCATTCTGATTACTTTTTGATTTACTCAATTTCCAGCTTTTAACACATGTTTGAAGCCTGGAACAACCTATGTCGGTCCACAAATCATTACAGATGTCACGCATGATATGACCGTCATGCAAGAAGAGGTATGTACTATGTATAAACACTTTGTACAATGTCGGCTACAGGACACTCATAATAGACGACTTAGACATTTGGACCTGTGCTGGTAGTGATACCTGTCCACTCGGACAAAGAAGCCGTCGAGCTAATGAACGATTCCACGTATGGACTGACAGCTAGCATATGGACCCAAGATGCGGATAAAGCATTAGAGATTGGCAACCAAATCGAGTGTGGGACATGGTTCATGAACCGCTGCGATTATATTGACCCTGCATTAGCCTGGGTCGGCGCCAAAGACAGTGGGTTGGGCTTTTCTATGAGTAAGCACGGGTTTGATCAGTTCATTCGACCAAAGTCCTATCATTTGCGATTAAAGCAGTAGTAATGTAGTAGCAGATTTGAAGATGATATGTAGAGAATGCAGTGTATATCTGTTGTCTGTGCGAGAAAAGAAAGAGTGTGAGAGAGGGAACTTTATATAACCAACGGAAAAATAGTAGTAATAAAACTTGCTCTTGTCAAAGAGGTATTAAGAAAGAAGAAGCAAAGAAGAAGCAAGAAAAAAGGAGAAACTAAGGGAAGAGCGAGCAAAGGGGTGTGTGTAGAAGAAAGAAGACGACCAAAGTCAGAGTGATTAAATTAAAAAGAAAGAAGATGGTTGGGCGTGTGTGTGTGTGTTATTTTTTTTAAAAAGTAAGAAGGATGGTGGTGATGTTGTTTACTTGTTAAAGGAAAACCCTTTCTTCTTGACCTTTTCTGGCGTGATGGGTCGTCCACTTTCCAAACGACGTCTCTTTTCTTCGAGATCCATGCGCTGCTTCTCGAGCGCCTCCTTCATCTCCTTGTGACGAGCATAGAGTTCTTCTTCCGACTGCTTCAACTTGGACTCCTTCTCCGTGACCTTGGCCTGGAACACCGACCGCATCTCGGCCTCCATCTTTGCCAGTTTCTGTTCGTGAGCAAGTCTTTCCTCCTCCATCTTTTGGACGGGGTTGACCTCCTTGAACACCGAGGGATCTTGCTGGATGCCCATGGCCTTGAGCTTCTCGGTGCGGTAATTTTCGTACAAGACGTCGTTGGTGTACTCCTTGAGCTCCTCCATGTGCGTGCGGATCAACATTTGTCGCAGCTTGACAAAGTCGCAGTGGTCTTCATTGTCGACCTCAATCACACCCCACGGATACTTACGGCCACGCACACGACGACCGCCCTCGACCTCAAACTCCTTGTCTGAGCCCACAACGGCAAAGGGGATCTTGGACATGATCTCGCGGTTCTCTGCAATCGTTTCCTGGTCGTCGTACTCATAGACAGGTGCCTGGTAGATCTGGATCTTGTGATAGTTGATATCGGCCAAGATCCGCTGCTTGAATGCCATGACTTCTTCTTCTGTCAGTGTATCGGCCTTGGCAATCACCGGGATCAGGTTGACGCGCGTGTGAAGCCGTCGCATGAATTCAATGTCGAGCGGTTTCAAGGCGTGGCCGGTGGGCATGATAAAGTACAGACACGCGTGGATGCGATTGTCTACCATCCGACGGCGGTTCACTCGGTTCTCTTGCTCCAGGTACGCATCAAAGCGCGACTCGATATTGTCCAGGATCGGCTTCCAGCTCTCCTCATTGTTGACAAAATCGCCAAAGCCAGGCGAATCCACCACTGTCAGCCGCAACTTGACGCCGTTCTCTTCAATGTCGGCAGTGATGGATTGGATTTCGACTGTCTGCGGCGTTTCGTGCGTCAGCTCGACGTTTTCTTTTGGTGGATACAGTTGGGTGTTGAACAGAGTGTTGACCAACGTTGATTTACCCAGTCCGGATTCACCTAGAATGAGTCGTTATGTAAGATATAAGCATTCGTCATATGTAGAAGAAAGAGATTGTGTGTGTGTGTGTGTGTGTAGCCAAGTTGAAATGAATTCCAAACGCAACGTCAATTTTGTTATGTGACCCACTTCCACAATCCACAGGCCTTCTTCCTCCTGCTCCTGCCCCTCTTTCTTATACACGACCCCTTAGCAATAGCCCAGCAAGACAGAAACATGCACAGCTTGCACGCCTCCTCTCACACATACATCCCGCCCCCCCTGTTTTTTTTTGTTGGAGTGCAAAGAAAAAAAGGGAAGACGTAAACTACTGACTGACTAAGTAACTAACTAATGACATACCAACGACCATGCAAGTGAACTGGAAACCTTTCTTGACGGATTTACGGTGTACTTGGTTTGGTAAGTTGGCAAAGCCAACATAGCCTTGGAGTTTCTTGCGCACCACTGTGATCTATGGAATAGTCAAGGAAACAAAAAGTTATGGAGACTGACTTGGATGTGTGCATATTATATGTATATATTCAATAGGCATTAAAAAAACCACACACTTACACCAGATGACGCGCCGTTTACTTGATCAACTATATACCATGAGACATAGATTTTACACACAATGAGAAAAAGAACTCTTTTACAAAAAGGTACATTATATAATTCTCGCCGAGATCTCAATAAAAACCTTTTACATACCCATTTGGACGAATCTGTGTTTTGCGAGTTTTATTTATTTACTTTATGTGAGGAAGGAGAGAAAGAGAGAGAAAGAAAGAGAAGAAAGAAAGAAAGAAAAAAGGGAAACGCCTTCACGACGTATGTGTATATATGAGCTGTTGTTGTATAATAAAAAAGGAGGGGGAGTCTCTTTCTTTGAAAGGGGCTGTCAAGGAGCTTTTTTCGCCTTCTATATAATGTTCCATAACCCAGCATTATTCAGAAAGAGAGAGACGTGTTATGGCATGTGTATGTGTGTAACAGTCAAATTAAGCACCACACACCCATATTTTTTTCTCTTTTGATCTGCATAAACAAGAGAACGCTTCTTGTTCATCGCTACAAATCTCCCCGTTTCCATCGATAAATATGTTTCCTGAGTAATTAGACACTCTACAACAGATAGGATGTAAGTAGGTTGGGTGTGCTCATCACCATGACTACTGTACTAGTCAGTGAGTTCCTTTACGTGAATAGTACTGTATGTAGTAGTGCTGCCATCTAGTAAAGCTGTGTATATATACTACAGACTCATACGCTCTCTCTCTGTGTGTGTGTGTGTGTGTGTAATTTGAATACAGCAGCAAAGGGCGATATCAGAAGGAGACCAACCAGAAATGTACTATTTGAGGTCTCTTGGTCAACTATCTCTTCTTTTACTGCATTAAGCTATCACTGATGACTATGTATATATTACAATATCTTAAGTCATACCGTCATCGGTGATCGTGAATCTCTGGGATAAGCCGAGCATAGCACGACACTCGTATGAAATCCGATCAAGGGGATGCCAAAGCACATTACGGCAATGATGGCGCTGTCAATATGTTACTCAAATATGCAACTACTATGTAAATAACCTTTATTCACTCACTGTGTGTATGCGATTGATGTTACAGACCATACCCCCAGAAGACATAGTTGGCATTCTTCACAAGTACAGTAGTCGCTATTTCGCTGACGCTCAGGTCCAGCCTCTACACACATACATTGGGTCTAAAGCAAAACGGTAGTTCAAGTACTCTTGATAACCAGACAAAAGCAGTTTATAGATAAACTAGAGATGCTGCTGTCAGTGACGGCTGTCGACGTTTGAAAACGACTACGACCTACATTCTTTCGGATAAACGAATAATGGTGGTTGGGATTGAACTCTTGATTTGGCAACAACTTCAACAAAAAAAAGATACTACTACTACTTGTACTTTTGCATCTGTATCTTCAAATGCGACATCGCTGTTGGCTGTGCTGACAGAAACAATCTGTGAGTCAAAGCTGTGAAACTGGCCATCCAAACCTGGGGAAAATGACGTCTCAGAAACATAGAAAGAGATCGCTCTACCTTTGTCCGGGGAAAAGCTTTGTACGAATGAATGTTGTAATACACAAGAGGAGTATACACCATGCATCCGGTAACATCATTGACCAGTGCACACAGTACGTGTTGAACAACCTTTGTATATGTTATACAATGGTTTGTTGGTTCCATGTTTGGGTATGACGGATAAGAAGATGAAAAGCCAGCTTCATCGATAACAACCTCATTTTCAAGTGCAGCTCGGCTACTACTATGGAAAAGCCTAGCTTCATTCTCACAAGATGCTCAAGAAGACTTGCTTAGCGTTACTGTGCCCACACTTATTGCAATACTAGTTTGTCGTCGTGTTTGAGGAACCCAGTCGTTAACATTAACAGCTATTGACGTTTGGACCGACGCCCAGAGGAAAGCTCTAGTACTGACGATGTAGTGTGTGCGACTTGTGCACTTTTGACCTTGGCTACTATTGCACTCAACAGCTCCCAATGTCACGTTGCATCCCCGTGCGACTGCGAGGCTGTTGCTTGGACATATGGGAAGCACTTTTATCGACATTTGCCCCAAAGCAGAGTTTTCCGCTGCTTTCTCATCTTTGAACTACAAGCCAAACCAATCTTGAATTCCGCCCGAGTTGCGGTGGCAACGACAAGAATTCCCACCCGTGAGTTTGATGGGGGAGGGTGGAGGAGAGATTAACAAGGCCAGAGCGAGTCATTAGGAACCTGAATCGTAAAAAAAACCCCCTCGTGAACTCAGAATGGTACATTATGTAAATATGTGTTCGCCCTAGACGATTTGAAGACGAACGAAGGCTTCCGTTCCCAGCAATCAAAAAATGGATTCAACACCCCCACGGGTGCCACCACATGGAATAAGGGCTTTTCGGGCGCTCATGCAGCAATTAGTTTTGGGCTGTGTCGGAGCAACAACCGGTGATTTTGTTTGGTGCAGCAGACTGTGTGATGTTAACCTATTAGCAAGCAGGGCAGGGCAGGGCAGGGCAGGCAGGCAGGCAGGCAGGCAGGCCCACACACACAGGTCAAAGAACCCGGTTTCAGAACAGCTCACATTTAAAACCATCCAGCCCATCACCCGCCCCACACAGTGCGCTTCTTTATCTCCTTTCCTGCACTTTCTTTGTCTTCCACTCTCTTTCTCTGTCTTCTCTACCACTCTCTCTACACACTCTACAAAGGAAGATCACACACACCCTCTTTGCTGCTGCTCATGGTTTATCGAAGCTCATCCAAACGTTCGTCCCTGTACGATTCACTTCCAGTACTTGATTCGTGGTACCAACCTGAAGAAGAAGAAGAAGAAGAACAGATCAAAAGCAGTACTACCACTATCACGCCACCGATCATAACGCCATCACCTTCTCCACGACCTTCCTGTTTCAGCAAAACACCTTCTTCATCCCTTGAACGTCCCAGTTGTGCAGACGGCCGTCGCAGTGTGTCATTCTCAGTCGAGCCTCCATCCGTTCGCTATATCGATGAAAGGGAGCAACATCATCAAGAAGATGCTGTAAGTGAACAACTCTCTCTGTTGACAGCAACAACAAGTATTAGTAGACAAGAACGTCGTGATAGCAGAGGTGAGTGTCGTTTCTGGGAGAAACGAGCTTGGATCAATACAAAAAGGAAAAGAAAAAGGCGGGTTCCCTCCCCCCACTCAGATCAATCAAAAAACTCACTCATCAACCAACTTGCGTTTGATTTGAATAGGCGCACGATTGAAATTCTTGGCAAAACGCTTGTTGCCTAAACAATTCACTATGAACAAGGTCCACGTTTTTTCTCCAACATCTTCATAAATGTATTCAACACCAGAACAATTCCGTGTTTCTTATTAATCCCTCACTCTTACGCACTTGTCCACTACTGCTATTACTACTACTACTACTACTACCATTGCTCTTTTGCTCTAATGCCTGTCATTGTATCATTACTATCTACCCATTACTTGCTTATCTCTTATTCTAATCACAGTTCCGCCTTTCTTTCTACCTCCACCCACCAACAAAACCCCCTTATGCTCGAATAGAAACGAAGAACATGAAAAGAAAAATTTATTATAATAATATGTAAATGTAAATGTATGCACGTATCACCGCTCCCCCCCCACCACCTTACAACGGACATACACGTACCACAGCATACTGTAATCTATATACAATTTCAACAGCAGCTTATTTATCAAACGAAAAAGATGTACTGTACAGTCAATTCAGAAAGTAAAAAGTCGCTGATTTTGAGTTTGATGTCGTACCGAAAAATTGCATGTCCTGTCCAACAACAATGTCGACTGATCCAAAAAATAAAGATGTGTCCTGTATACTCCTTAGAACTCGATCCAGCAAATTGAGCTGTTCTGGTCTGTTGTTAAGAGTAAGGTGAAGCGGAATAAGCTATTGGAAAGAAATAGAAGCATTTAATGACTAGGATCTGTTGAAGCCATGCAATAGTCTATACTTGAATGATATCCAAAGGTTTTGTTTCATATTTTGTTAAATGTTTCGAGAAGTGTCTCGACAAAGAAAGATTGTAGTATCTCTCTGCCGACTCTGGGACGCCAGATCCTGGTGACCTTTTTTTTTTAGCACTGATACAGTACAAAAATGGGTGATGCTTCAAATGTGTAAGTCATGTGGATGAGATGGTAGGAGACAGTAAAAAAACACTTGATGAGACTCAATAAATGTGATTTATTTGAGAGAGAGATAGAGAGAGAGAGAGAGAGAGACTGTGTGTGTGTGTGTGTGTGAGAAAAAGACATCTGCAAGTTGTGGATTCATTGGAAGTGTTGAAATGATAGGCGAGCCTAAAAAGAGGTGTGAAATGGCATTTTCTGTGTCTGCATTTTACTGACTTGGGAAACTTGATTTTCCGCCCAAAAACAAGGGGTATCACGAAAAGGGGTGCACACCATTTGGGGGTGCATCCAGTCATAATAAGCCACTTTTGTCGGAAAGAGCGACACACGAGAGTGCTTACGCTGTACCTATTACTGTCATTTCATAAAGACAATGCCAAAAAGACCTCCTGTCACTTTTTTCGAGAGGAAAGACACCACTTCCCCAACGGTAGCTACACTACAGTAGCAGCAGCTCAATTCGACAATAAAAAACGCGATTATGTGAATTACGATTTGAACATCGGCTGGGCGATGGCCAAATAAAAATGGATCGCACGATGTATGGCGCAAGGAATATGGGGAGGATAAGGACGCTGGGGAAGAAAGGTACTGTCAATATATGTTATTTAGAAAACAACAGCCTAAACGCGCGATTGTTGACGGACATTATTGTGGGTATTGTCGACGGTTGGCAGAGGAATGAACCTATGCCGGACACGTTTTAGCAGGGAAAAGTGAAATGACAGTGACCAAAGCGCTTTCCTAAAAGGGAACAGCAGTGGCGATGACCAGAGGCAGTGACCAGAGCGAAAGACCAGAGGAATTGCTAACAGAGAAATGTTGATGACCAAACGACGACAAGGCGGGGGTGATAGTAGTACATAGTAAGCTTAGTAGTTGTGATCACGAGTGCCGTATCTGGTAAAGCCCCTTCTTTTTCCGAAGGTGCAGCGCTCCACATAGAAAAGCTTTATAAAAGGTAGCTTCTCCATCTGTTTCGTTCTTTCACTTCTTTCTTCTCACCCACACTTGCACCAGCTCTCCCTCTCTGTATTAAACAATATGTCAACAAACCAGACCACAACCAACAATATCGACGTCTCGGGTAGCTATTTCTCGGCCTGGCCTTCACCGTGCCCCGCCCAGGAAAACTTACCCAGGAGGAACGTCAACGCGAGGCCTGGCGCCAGTACAAACCCATGGCGAAGGAGCTCGCAGAAGGCGCCGAGGAAGCCCAGGCCAAGAGGGCTTATTTTGAGCGGGTCAAGGCCAAGAAGGCACACACATGGACCGGCGCCCACCAACCACGCCCGAAGCCCGGTCAAGCCTTCCACCACTGCCGTAAACACCAGTATGGGTGGAACAAGTCGCGCCCCATCGACTGCCGGTTTGCGACTCTGGACGAGAGTACGGGCGCCATCACTTTCGACAGCAATGCAGCGATGGCAGAGCGCGAGCGTACAAGAGAGAGTAAGGCCGATGGCAAGACGCGTCGTATCGGCAAGAAGTGTGTTGGTTTTGTCACTTGCGTCAACGAGAAGTGCGAGTTTTACGATGGCGTTATCAGACCTGCGGTGAAACGAGCTGCTCTTGACAACGTACATGTTATGGGCGCCAATCCACTGTTTCCGTGCCTGGTGTCAACGAGGGTACAAGAGATGAATCCCTTTGTGTACATCACATATGCAGACGATAGTAAGTGTGTTTGTAGTCTTATTAATAGACCTGTGGCTGACATAAATGTATTCAGGTGACCAAATTGGCGACTCCTCATCTTCTACCCCATGCATTACATCATCGACCGTTGTTACTAAAGAAAGTGTCAACGCTTCATCTTCGGCAAGTGATACAATTGCATATCAATACAAAGGTAAAAGCAGCTTTTTTCCGTTATAGGTTTCGTGTTTTGTAACGTTTTGTGTAGTCACTGTTTTTAAACAGGAAGCCCTGGAATACTTGAAGCAAGTCATGCTGCCAAACCGACCGTCGAACGATACCCTATTCGAGCGCATCTTCTTGGTGTCAGCTCAGCAAAAATCTATCTTAGAAAAACGCTTCGGACCAGTCACAAACTCGACGAAGCAAATTGAGGGTTGGGTCAACGGCTGTAACACGTGGGGTGAACGTACATCAAGAAAGTCAGATGGCAAAAAAGTGGAAGGTCGTTGGCTGTGGGTCTTGTTAGACAAGTACTTGGATGTCAACGTTATTGAGGACCTTGCAAAATACGAGCGACACTGCCGTCACCATCCGATGTCAACAATCGGCTACGCCCGAAAATTAAAAAGGAGGAAAAGAACGTCTTCGCACTCGATGCAACCTTCTAAGCAACATGGTTCATCGTTTGCGCACGAGAAGCCTGTGCACCAAAGTTTTCGTGTCGCCCCATTGCAACGCAGATGAAAATTTGGAATCTCGTGACAGCACCGGAAACCAAAAAAATCACCTGGCTTTGGTTAAGAACTGCGATGGGGATATGACAAGTTACGTGAATGACTTTCATGGCAAACAGACACTTGTTCCGGGAAAGGCCGTTTGTGAACGCGGTACGGAATGCAGGTCATTTCCCAGTTTACATGCCCAACAATTCTACGTTCCTTGACCCGTGCCGTCCATGTTGGGAGGCCATCCAATCGAGCATACGACGAACGCCTTTGACGGATGAAGACAGCTTGGCAAGCCGTATTAAGGAAGCCGCGGAGACGATCACAGCTGCAGAATGTATTCGTTGGGTGAGCGAAGCCAAGTCGTATATCGATCGCTGCTTAGCAAAAGAGCAAATCCAGTAGGAATGCTATTATGTTTTTTCTGTACCCATTACACTCCTTTTTTATGCCCTCCTTTTCCACTTCTTTCTTCATGCACGCTAGTCGTACCTATGTCAACTTATTTTTTTCCATTCCACTCTTTCACTATGCACCTGTCCTTCTACACTAATTATACTTATGCCAAACTTTTTTTTCTCTGTGCAAGAAATATTATATTCAAGTAAAAAGTGATGCCCTTTGAAGAGTCTAGATACCTGTGGCAAAAATGCACTTGCTAGAATTTTCAGTCTTCACGCTTGAACTATGGCAGTACAGCTGGTATGGCCAGCAATGCGAGTTTACCTGTTGGACGAAAAAAAAAAAGAATGAGATGCAGGAAGGAATTGATCCACTGTAGATTCAGAAAGCCTTGTCACAAAATAGATTTTGAAGCTCTAAAAATTGGCTGCGTACTAGTGGAACATGTCACGCTGTTCATTGAATGTCTTGTTGTTATGGATGAAAAAGCTCGATTGGTGTCGGGGAAGCAAGCGCGGTGCGCTGTTGAATGCCCTCCGTCGCCCACTGGGAAAAGGAAGTTAGCCGTGAGGCAAGACCTCTGTTTAATGAAATTTTGTTGTGATGAATATAAGATTGATTCATACTATGAAAATAAGCCTGATGCGTTCTTAGACAGCGTCCATCGCCCATGGAAAAAAAGGAAGTGAGCCATTAGACGCCCTTAATTTCTCACCAGGGAGAGTCTGTTTATCACGAATCATTTCTATTCGCCAACCAATCAAATACAGTATTTCGCACCAGTGTTCATCTCTATATTACACCCCCTAGAAATTTTATAGTTTCAAACGCAAAACGCTGTACGAAACGTATTTCCATCATTAACAGGCAATCCTTTTTCCAAGCGCTCCTGAATTCTGCTATATGCATGCTCATATTGCAAATTCCTAATACAACAGAGAAAATGGTTACTTTCAAATTTCCACATATATATAAGATAAGCCTATCTAATAATTATAACAACAACGTACTTGAAATGCACCTTGAAGCTGCGGATAATACCAGCATCTAAAGGCTGCATAAGCGATGTTGTATTTGGCGGCAAATATACTAGCTCGACATTCTTTGGCTCGTAATCGCAAAAATGGCCCGAAAAGTTGTCTAAGAGCAATGCAATTTTTCTTTGCTGATACACCATCGATTTATCCAACATAGTAAGGTACTTCTTGAAGATATCGCGCGTCATCCAAGCATTGGCATTTGCACAGTACTTCGAGATGTCAACCTTTCTCTGCTGTGCCTGTTGTTATATAGAAAATATAATAAGCAGTTGATCATCATCTTTTACTTTATCGTATAGCATACTTTGCTGAAACAGGTTGGGCGCTGTACCTTGCCAATGAACCAGGGGTGCCACTTATCAGATCCATCAGCATTCGTCGTCAATACAAGTGCTAACCGCGACTTGTCCTGCTTGACCCCTTTAAACGGTCCAGGTGCAATTGTAGACACAGGAGCACTGGAGTAGAAGCCAGCTGTCTCGTCCATGTTGTAAATGTCCTTTAACGCATATTTTTCTAGCATTCGTTGGATTTCAGGTAACTTGACTTCTGCGAGTGTGACATCAGCAGAGCTAGCTTCACCACTTATTTTTTAGACCTTGAGGTTATATCGTTTTTGGAAGCGGTTTTGCCAGCCATCGGAGAATGTCAAGTCCTCAGTTGAGATTTGCAGCTTAGTTGCAAAGTTTTCACCAGCTTTCTTAATAATATCCCAATTGATTGGGATCTTCTCATGGAATCTTTGTTCTATCCATGTATATAAAGCGTATTCTAGTTCCTACTGTATTATTTTGCTTTCTTATTAGTAAAGTGAATAGCAAGCAGTACTCAATAAGCTTAAATGTACGGGAAACTTTGCTCGAGCTTTTTGTCTTTTATTTCTCTCAATGCCGTTTTCTTCTTCATGTTTTCTCTTAGCAATCATTCGTGAAATTGTTGTTGTATTCGGAACACTCTCAAGGTTGTATGTTGTTTTTATCCAGTCGAGTAAATCCTTGTATATAAACTTGCGCAGCGCTTTCTCTTTGGCGACGTAGTACTGATACGCTGCTTCACTTATTTCATCAGTAAGCTTTTCATATTTTCCTTCCATCATGATGTGTAGTTTGAGTAGTGTGTATAAGACAATTGCAAAAATTCGAGTCTTTTTATATAGACATTGCAATGTGAAAGTAACCTCAACAAAGTACCGATATTCTTTAATTGGTTCACATAATTGACACTTAGTAAGCTAAGCTATACTCAGCCTGTGTAACACCCTTATACCCATCCTCACTTTTTGCAGTTCCCCGCTTTTTACAGTTTTTTTCATGAAAAACCGCTACTGCAAAAAGCGGGGGTCAACTGTAATGAAAACAAGTAGAGGAAAAAGAAGTGAAGGAGTAAAAGAGATGCAAAAGCTGCCTTTCGTAAAAAAATTTTGGAGCGGGCTTTGCCAAACACGGCGCTCATGACCGCAGATGCTATCCCCTTTTCGCCTTGCCTTGCCGTTTTCCCATGTACCTTCTGCCTCCCGCTTGCTATCGTTTTTTTTTCTATCTGAGCTTGTCATCGATACTTCTTTGCTAATCCCTTTTTAGAAAATTTTGGTCATCGCTAGTCATCGCCTCTGGTCATCACCTTCCCTTTTTTACTCCACTGGTCATCGCCTCTGGTCATCGCCTCTCCCTTTCAGTCACCGCTAGTCATCGCCTCTGGTCATCGCCTCTCCCTTGCAGTCACCACTAGTCCTTCCCTCTAGTCTTTACCTTCCCTTTTTGTCTCCACTGGTCATCACCTTCCCCCCACCACTGTTCCTTTTGGGAAAAATCTGGTCATTGACCAAATAAAATTTTAGTCACTGTTTGGTCACTGTCAATTCACTTTTCCCTGCTTAAATGTGTCCGACATAGGTTTATATTAAAAAAACGGGCAGCAAGCGAGTATGCTATAGAAGAACAAAAAAAGTAAAAAGAAGAGGAGCCGGTTCTCCTACTATTTTGCTGTCTTGCTCATTACGTTATGGTAATTTGATTGGCTAAATCCCGGGGTCAGTCTAGGATCATTTGTCGCCACTTGAATTGAAATGTCGGGGTCATCGGGGTCACTCATTTTTGCTGTGGCGACTTCGTCGCCACGCCGAAAATGATTCTAGGCCCTAACAGATAGTTTCTCCTAAAAACTATCCTCGGAAAATCACACAAATTTTTCGTGATGTTCATTGTGACGTCCTTTTTTAGAGATTTTGTGACATCTTTTTTTCAAAATTGTGACGTTTTTTTGTGACTTTTTTTGTGACGATTTTTTTGTGACGTTTTTTTCTGTGACGTCGTTTTTAGGTAAATAAATATATAAATGCTGTTGTTTCATCTTTCTTCCCTCTTTCTCTCACTTTTCTCACTCAAGGTAAGTTATTTCCTTTTTTGGGTTGTTGGGAGATTTTTCCCCTCTCCTTCCATATTTGGGTGGTTGGGAGATTTTCCCCCTCTTCTTCCATATTTGGATATTTAGTACTTTTTTCCCCTCTTCTTCCATATCAGTCATTTCAGTCCTTTTTTCGCCTCTTCTTCCATATAAAGTAACCTTGGGCTACTTAGCTTTCTTTGCTCATTTTTTTTGCTCTATTCATTGCCATCTTTACCCCCTTTCTAAACATGCTCCTTAACATGCTATTTCCATTTTACACTTTTTTTACCAATGTTTTCACCTCTAAATCATATTAATCCTTTACATCATCTCAATCCTCTTTAATAGCTCTTTCAAAATGCCTATCGACTGCCAGCTCTTCATCACTCTCTACAAAGTCACCATCAACGGTAGGTTTACTTATAACTTAAACAAAACATGAACCTTTAAAAGTAATATCCCATTCACTAGTCCCCAACGCCACTCTCAAGCCTACCTTGGAAGCCATTTTGGAGGCAATGGATCATGGTAAGCACAAGTAACTGCTAACTACAAAATTATCATATACTTACATAGTTATATTAGTCCCAGTTGAAACTACTAAGGAGACACTTAGAGGTTACTTGGCATATCTCAACGATCTGATGCAAATGGAGGCTGATTGTGAAGCTCTGGTCCAACAGCAACAACAACAACAAGAAGACTTAGAAGAAGAAGTCGTGTATTTGACTCCTACTGAAGATGAAGCGTAAGTATATTTAATACTTAAATGATCATTTCCTTACTAAAATAAAATAATATGTAGCTCTGACGTCGAGGAACTCCAACCCTGGGAAGCAGCAATGCGTGAGGACCCCTTCTACCACAATTTTGGGTCCACAAGTAACCAACTAGCTAAAGGTAACCCTTCTTTATCCCATTATTTCTCAGTCTATTAATATTCCTTCATCCAAGTAAAGTCTACAAAAAGTTCCATACTTTGGCTACCCCTAGACATGGTGCTCCTCTCACTTCAGTCATCCTTGAGCTTAATACCACTACGGTTGCTACTGCATCAGCTTGTTGTATTCATACAGACGAAGATATAGAAGGCGTCAACTTTTTTAGTTATATCCGTAACTACAACGAATAGCAACCAGAGCAAATCATCAACCATGCAATCAGTGGAACACCCTTTGAAGCCTTAACCAAAATTGATAAAGTCCGTCCATGCCATCTTGTGCGCTTACCTCCACTACAAGAATGGCGGTAATCTAAACCAACTTGGCTACAAGAGAGAACTGAATGAATTGGCTAAAGGTACTTCCCAAATACAAACTTACACAAATTATTTCTAATTCCTCTTTTTCTAGTTGGATTGCCAAGATCTGCCAAGCCTAGCGATACAATAACCGTCGGTTATCGTATGCTGGCTTTCTACAAGCAAGCTGGCGCCTGGCCAATCCTCTTTTCAGACAAGTTTAACTGGCCTTTCTTCCTCTCCGTACGTAACCTTTTTCTTTCTTACCCTGCTTTTTACTAACATACTTTCTTTAGTTCTCCTCGGACAATTGGGTTTATTTGGAGGAAAATGACTTTTCTCCTTTGCGTCCTTTAATTACACCAATAATTCCACAATGAACTACTTGACATCGTTCGAGAATGTTGGCTTCTTCCTACATCATATTCAGTCATTAGTAAATATGATGGCTGAAGCTAAGAGTCAAGAACGTGCTTATGGCCGTTATTATCATACTTTTGGTCATTAGAAAATACATTTTGTCTCTCTCTCTCCCTTTCCATCATAACTTTCTTCTCTTTTTCCACCAAATAAAATCATCAATGACTTATATAAAAAACATGTCTTAACAAAAAATATAGCAAACACTAGCCTTTTGAAAAAATTATCAATATACTATAGAACCTTCTGGAATCTATCAAAACCAGTCACCATCTCTTTAAAGCCCAGTTTTTAAAGTCAGAAAAAGTATATAAAGAGCCAACGTTTGAAACACTTTTCTCCTTCCCCCAACTTTTAGTTACTAAAATGTGAGTGTACAGCTGCTCTTTACTATATAAAAGTCCTAGTTCCTTTTCTGTCTTTTTAGTGGTTTTTCCTCTCTCTTTCCTATTTAGTCATTTTGGTAGATTCTTCTCCCTTCTTTCCTATTTAGTCATTTTGGTGGATTTTTCTCCTATCTTTCTTGTTTAGTCACTTGGGTAGATTTTTCTCCTCTTTTCCTTTTCAGTCACTTGGAGGATTTTTCCCCTTTCTTTCCTTTTCTATTCTTTAGGTAGAGTTTTCCCCTCTCTTTCCTCTTCCGTTCTTTCAGTAGATTTTTCTCCCTTCTTTCCTTTTGGGACATTTAGGTGGATTTTTCTCCTCTCTTTCTATTTCTGCCATTCAGTTACATTTTCACTCTTTAGCTGTTATTTGAAAATCATCTTTTTCTAATTATTTTTTTACGTGATTCCGATATAAATACTTATACCAATCATTTAACAATAGCTTTTTCAAGAACCCCTTTCTTTTAAAAAATTAAATATGTCTGCCAACAACTCTAGCTCTTACGCTTCAAAGGTCCGCTCGTAGGCTTCGCTTGCCACGTCGTTCGTCACTGGTAACAGCCAGTTGCCTATTGAGGACTCGGTTTCGCCTTCGCCTTCGCTACTGCAGCAAGAGCCTTTCCCTGCTTTGCCTGCTGCCCAATCGCCTCCCTTGTTGGCTTCTCCAGCTATTGCTTTGCCCCCTGTGCGTCAGGGTAACCGTTCACCTCGTCCAGAACGTAGAAACTCCTTGGAAAGTCTTCCTTCGGATTTTAGCTGGGATGATTCCCAAGAGGCTGCTTCTCGTAATTATTGTTTCTCTGTCACTTTGTTTTACGTTTTATATCTCATTCTCTGAAAATAAAAATGCACTTCTTTTTTAGCTCCCAAGACTGCTTCCCCTCCTTTGTTGAAAAAGAGAAAGGTTGTAGAATCAAGCTCTCCAGTACGATATGCTCGTTCTGGTATCTCTGGTGCTCGTACAGACCAGCCTCTAGTCGCTCCTCGTCACTCAGCCTTGGAAAAAGGAAAGTTCTGGGCTCAGCCTAGTGCTGTACGTACACAGCAACTGGTATTGCAAGCAACCCAAAAGTCGTCAATTGCAATTTTAGAGCGTTCAGATATCAGCCAAGGTAAACTTATAAAAGTATTCACACTGTCATTTTCTACTTACTAAAAATAATTCAATCGTCAAACTTTCAAAACACTTCAGATAATCGCAAACCGGGTACTCCAAGCAAAAGTATGTATCCATAGTCATTTTACTCTTTTACAATCTCTAATTTTTTTATATCTACATAGTTTTCAAAAGACGTCCTGCTCCTGTGATCTCATCTACACCACTTTCCGCCCAGGCATCTCATCGCCAATCAGCTCTGCCTTCATCAACATCCTCCTTTACCCACCATCCACATAAAAAATTCATCAATGCAAACATACCTGATAGTGGCAGTGACTATAATCCTAGTCGTTCAGCACATTCCTCAACATCTAGTGGTTCAGAGAGTGAATCTAGCAACAACAGCGGTAGTGAAAGCGACAGTACAGAGCCGGGTATATCGCAACCCACACAGCATTCAGGTGTTCTTTGTGGAATTGAAGAGTGTAATTTATATTTTTCTTCAAAATCTGCTCGTAAGCGACACCTTCGCAAAATACACCAGAAAAAAGTAAATGTCAAGTATCCCAACAATAACGGTATGTATCTTTCCTATGACGTTTACCTTTTATATCTCTTCTATTAAATAGAGCATGGTCCTTACGATTTCAATCCCAGCGTAAAATCCAGATTTGGAAATTTCACTTTGTAACGACCATGCTTTTTTAACGTTGCACGTTCCTGGGAGACTTGGGTAAACTTCAACTTTGTGCCGTCTTCCTAGACTATTATCACATTGCATTTCTCAATATGAGCTCCGAAGAGGTGTGCTACTTGATTTCATCTGCCATCAACGACATTTGAGGTCTTTCTGTGAAAATCATTGAGCATTTTCCACCGTTAACCAGGATTCTGACAGACTGCTCTAAATGAGCTACCTATTTTTTTTCTGCACATTTCTCGACAAAGCAGTCGACTGATCATGCCTGTCACTGTGGCTCGGATCGCAATGAGCCATGTCCAGTGCATTCTCGCAGTGTTTCAGTAGAATAGGCAACGCATCATTTAACCATGTATATTTGAATATTACTGCTGCAGCTGTTTGCTTACAAAGCTACAGATAGTTCGTTTTTGTAAAAACTTTTGCGCCTACGTTTTGTATCTGTGGCTCGAGCACCCATCGTAGGCGGTAGGCGTAATCATAGAGAATGCCCACTTAACCCTATCAACTGCGGTACTGTGTACTTACTAATTTTTTGGTGATAATGCAATTTTGCTGAAAAGATTACAAACAAACCTCCTCCAATACTCGCTATAGCTACTACCTTGCCACGATCACCTGTGTCTATGATCAACAGTTCGCCTCCACCAACTTCTCCTGCTGTCGCTGCCCCACCTTTTAGGGCTTCGGGTTTAGAGTGGGGCAGCGCCCTAACGGGAGGGTCAGCGGGAGGGAACGTCCTACAAATATAATTATCAATGTCATATTAGCAAAAGCATCTCTAGGTCGTAATAAATAATAGAACTTCGGGTCTTTGCTTTGGTAAGTAAGTAGGGCGAGCAAAGCGAGCTTTGTTTAGGGTGTAACAATCACATTTTTAGTAAGTATGATAGAGCGAACACAACGGCCTAGGTTTAGGGTGCAACAATCACACCTTTCATGATGTCCCAGAATTTCCACCTCAACAATTGTCCAATACCCGTTTCAAAAGCAAGAGAATTCCACCTCTAAGATTCTGACCTGTAAATTTTACGAAGAAACTGAACATGATCTGTTCAGTTGCGAGGATTGCCCGGGTATTGGACATGAATCGTCTGAGAGTTCGGAGTGCATTAACTCGACTGACACAGTAATCAGCTACATAATCTTAATCTGAAAGAGGCATTGCCTTTAGACATTTTTAGTGCAGTGACGACAATGACTTCAAGACCAAAATTATAAAAAACACCATTCTCACTCCTGTTAAGCAGAACAAATTTTCAGCATTGTTTGAAGGTAAAAGGGGGGTGGTAGGGGGCATTGCCCCCACCCGGGGTCAGGGGCAGAGCCCCAGTAAACTGGTCCCTGGAGGACAGATGCTGACACGCAGCGAAGCGGAGGGGCTCACATCGTCCGGAAGCGAAGCGGAGGGACCAGTTTATTACATTGAAATACTGATGACTTTATAGGAAACGTAACTGCACTTCATGGCAATGCTAAGCGATATGTCCAATGCCGTTGTGGGTTCAAAACTACCCACTTTCAAGTAATGCAGCGCCACTGTCAAAATTGTGATTTGCCAGTAGCTGCACCAACTGAGCAACCAACTGTCACTGTACCTGCACCAGATGTTTCATTATTAAGCAATCATGAAATCATTGCCAATGCTTTTACTCGTCTGGAACCTGCCTTTGGCCAAACGTCAAACATTGATACTGACCATAAGCTGATCCCATGTTTTTTTGTTCACACAAAGTGGTATGACATTGTCGAATAGTGGAAAACAGGTACTTTTTTTTTTATAGCATTGTCAACTTGCTCACTATTCTCTTTATAGCACACAACCAACACCAACAACAACATCCTAATCGCACATCAAGAAACATCCCTGTCATTATCTACGATTTAACAAAGAAAATCCATGCAGAGGAAAATGTACTAAAAGTTGTAGCAAAAGTTAATAAGCAGCTTTTTGTCCGCTTGCACAACTCTATTCACGAAAAAGACTATACCCTTCGTCGTTATCTTAAACAGAAAAAGTAAGTGTCGAAACTATCTACTTTGTTTCAGTCATCCACTCTAACTTATTTGCTTTTCTTTAGGCTCTCCGAACCACTCCCTGATCACGGATTCAACCAACTTGAGCGGCCCACTATCCAACGGTATACCCAAACTGGCGCCAATCTATTAACCTTTTTACTTCGCATCCGTCGTTCTCCTCACTGGTCTTTTGTTTTAGGTACCTGGTCTTCTACTATTTCTACTATACTCACTAATATCGCAACACTGTCCGCAAATGTCAATCCAGCCCAATTGTCATCACACACCGCCGCACAGATTGAATCAGAAATCTGTAAATTGTGGATAGCATTATTGAAAGAAGAAAAATGTTTTGATGTCGCAACCAATGGATATACT